GTGTGTGTGTGTGTGTGTGTAAAACCAATATTATACATACTTCTTTAACTAACTGTTTTTCAGTTCTTTCTCTGGAGGCAGATCACATCTTCCTTCATAGGTCCTTTGTAGTTAATTGGGTATAAAATGACTTAGTTGCTCAAAGTTTTTTTTAAAAAAAGTACTATTACTGTATATAACATTCTCTTGGTTCTGCTCATTTCACTCTTCATTATTTCATGCAGATCTTTCCATGTTTTTCTAAAATCAATGAACTCATCATTTCTTATATCATAATACTATTCCATCATGAGCATATACCATAATTTGTTTAGCCATTCCCCAATTGAAGGGCATCCCTGTAATTTCCAGTTCTTTGCCACCACAAAGAGAGCTGCTATAAATATTTTAGAACATATAGGTCTTTTTCCTTTTCCTCTTATTATCGTGGGGGAATAGACCTAATAGTGGTATTTCTGGATTAAAGGATATTATAGGCAGTTTAGTAACTCTTTGGGTATAATCTAGATTGCTCTCCAAAATGGTTGGATCAATTCACAGTTCCACCAACAGTGAATTAGTGTCCCAACTTATTTACATCCCCTCCAACATTTGTCACTATCCCCTTCTATCATTTTAGCCAATCTTGTAGGTTTAAAGTGATATCTCAAGATTATTTTAATTTGCATTTCTCTAATCAATAATGCTTTAGAGCATTTTTTCATGTGACTAAATCATTTTGATTTCTTCATCAAAAAACTACCTATTCATCTCCTTTAGCTGTTCATCAGTCAGGATTTGAGATTGTGAGATCTTTATCTGAAAAACTGTCTATAAAAAGTTTCCCCCCAATTTTCTACTTTCCTTCTGATTTGGCTACATTGGTTTTATTTTTACAGAAACTTTTCAATTTATTGTAATTTAAATTATCCATTTTATACGTCACAATGTCCTCTGCCTCTTGTATATTTATAAATTGTTCACCCTATTCATAAGTCTGATAGGTAATATGTTCTCTGTTCTTCTAATTTTCTAATATCTCCCTTTGTATCTAGATCATGTATCCATTTTGACCTTATCTTGCTAAATGGTGTAGGATATTGGTCTATGCCCAATTTCTGCCAGATTGCTTTCCAGCATTCCCAGCAGTTTTTACTGAATAATGAATTCTTATCTCCAAAACTTAAATCTTTACATTGTCAAACACAAGGTTACCATAGTCATTTACTGCTGTGAATTGTATGTTTACTCTGTTCCACTAATTTACCTTTCTATTTCTTAACCAGTACCCAGATAGTTTTGATAATTACTCCCTTACTATAATTTACTGCCAAACCTCTTTCCTTTACATTTTTTTCATTAGCTTCTTTGATATTCTTGACCTTTGTTCTTCCAAATGAATTTTGTTATTATTTTTTCTAACTTAGTCAAATAATTTTTTGGTAATTTAATTGGGATGGCATTGAATAAATAGCTTAATTTACGTAAAATTGTCATTTTTATTATATTGGTCCTGCCTACTCATGAACAATTAATATTTCTCCAATCATTTAAATCTGATTTTATTTGTATAAAATTTTTTTGTAATTTTGTTCATGGAGTGCCTGGGTTTATTTTGGCATCTGTCTAGTCTAGACTAGAGTGATTTTAAATGGGATATCCCTTACCATCTCTTCTTGTAGGGTTTTGTTGGTGATATATAGGAGTGCTGATTTTTTAAGTGGGTTTACTTCATATCCAGCTACTTTGTTAAAATTATTGTTTCAACTAACTTTTTAATTGAGTCGTTACGATTTTCCAAGTATGTCATCATATTGTTTTGCAAAGAGATAGTTTTATTACCTCATTGCCCATTCTGATTCCTTCTATTTTTTTTCTTCTCTTATTGTTACTGCTAGGATTTCCAATACAATATTGAATAATATTGGTGACAGTGGGCATCTTGTTTCACACCTGATCTTACTAGGAAGGCTTCTAGCTTATCCCCATTACAGATAATGCTTGCTGATGGTTTTAGGTAAATGTTTCTTATCAATTTAAGGAAAGATCCATTTATATATTATACTTTCAAGTATTTTTTTTTTAATATGAGTGAATGTTGTACTTTATCAGGAGTTTTTTCTGCATCTGTTGATATAATCATATTATTTTTGTTACTTTTATTGTTGATATAATCAATTACATAATTGTTTTATTTATGTTAAACCAACCCTGCATTCCTGGTATAAATACCACTTGGTACAATCTTTGTAATATATTGTTGTACTCTCCTAGCTAATATTTTATTTAGGATTTTTGCATCATATTCATTAATGAAATTGGTCTGTATTTTCTTTCTCTATTTTTACTTTTCTCCTAGTTTAGGTATCAATATCGTATTTGTTTCATGAAAGGAGTTTGGTAGGACCCTTTTTTTTTTTTTTTACCTATTATTCCAAATAAATTATTTGATATTGGACTTAGTTGGTTTTTAAAGTTTGATAGAATTCACTTGTAAATCTGTCTGTTTGTGGTACTTTTCTCTTGGGAAGCTCATTTATAGTCTGTTCAATTTCTTTTTCTAAAATAGGTTTATTTAGACATTCTGTTTCCTCTTCTGCTGATCTGGGCAGTTTATATTTTTGTAAATATCTTTCATTTCACTTAAATTGTTAAATTTATTGGCATATGATTGGACAAAATGACTGTTTATAATTGCTTTGATTTCATCTTTGCTAGTGGTATATTCACCCTTTTCATTTTTAATACTAGTGATTTGGTTTTCTTCTCTCTTTTTTAATCATATTAACCAGTGGTTTATCTATTTTGTAAGTTTTTCATAAAACCAACTCCTAGTTTTATTTATTCAATGGTTTTCTTATACTCAGTTTTCTTAATCTCACCTTTAATTTTTAGGATTTCCAATTTAGTGTTTAATTGAGGATTTTTAGTTTGTACTTTTTCTGTTTTTTTAAAAATTTCATCCCCAGTTCATTGGTCTGCTCTTTTCTTTGTTTTATTGATCTAAGCACTTAGAGATACAGTTTTTCTTCTGATTACTGCTTTTGCTCTATGTATCCTATGGGTTTTGATATGTTGTCTCGTTATTGTCATTGTCTTAAATGAAATTATTGTTTCTATGATTTGTTCTTTAATCCTGTTATTCTTTAAAATTAGGTTGTTTAGTCTCCAATTAGTTTTTATTCTGTGTTTCTATGGCCTTACTAAATATAATTTTTATTGCATTGTGATCTGAAAAGGATGAATTTAATGTTTCTGCTTTTAATTATAAAACGTTTTATGCCTTTTAATATATGGTCGATCTTTGTAAAGGTACCATGTGCCATGAAAAAAAGGTGTATTCCTTTCTATTCTCTTTCCATTCTCTTCAGATATGTATCATGTCTAACTTGTCTAAAATTTTATTCATTTCATTGACTTCTTGTTTATTTTTTGGTTAGGGTTATCTAATTCTGAGAGGGGAAGATTAAAGCCCCCCACTATTATAGGACTACTATTTATTTCCACCTGTAATTCATTTAACTTTTCCTTTAAAAATTTAAATGCTGTATTATTTGGTGCATGTAGTTTTAGTATTGATATTACTTCATTGTCTATGATACCTTTTATCATAATGTGGTTTCCCTGTTTATCTCTCTTAATTAAATCTATTTTAGCTTTAACTTTGTCTGAGATCATGATTGTTGCCCCTATTTATTTTTTTCCCCACATCAGTGAATGCATGCTAAGTTTTACTCTGGGCCCATTCTTTTAACTCTATGTGTATCTCTCATTTTTAAATGTTTCTTGCAAACATCATATTGTTGGATTCTGATTTTTAATCCATTCTGTTGTTTCTATTTCATACCTTAATTCATCCCATTCACATTCATGGTGGCCTCTTTGCAAATACATTTATCACAATCACTGCAATACAAGATAACCATATTTTCCATTAAATATTTCTTATTGCCTTTGGGGACACAATAAAATTGACTCTACCATCTCCTTTATTTTCCTCATCAAGTAGAGCCAGTGAACTGTCTTTCTCTTTAGCTATAATTTCCTTCTTCTGGTTTCATTTATAATGAAGTGTGACTATGTGAAGATTAATGTAATTAATTCAGTTCCTCCAACATTATGCTCACTCATTTCATTGCTGGGTAAGGATCTCACATATAAAATACCAGCAGCTAATGTAGATCCTTATGGACAATTTAAAAACTGATTCTTAGTACTCTCTGCCCACTTTTCTAATCCCTCTACCACTGCTTTTGAAGAAATTGAAGGAAGCTATACAGGATTGAAGGCCATTTATATTTTTCTTTGTTTTATGAGTTGTCATGTCAACTTCATTGCCAGGGGGCCAGTCTGTTTGTTGGAGAGTCTCTCAGTACTTAGCTAGGCTGGTTCTAACAAAGCAGACTCAATTGGTTGCTGGGACTTTACTTAAATCTTTCCAAACACAGTGTGTAGAAACTCTTGGTGAATTCTCTTAAGGAGGATTTTTTGGAGAACATGCTCCAGAGTTGCACAGGATGAGAAAGTATGTAATCCACATCATTGGTACATCTGTATCAATGTAGAAAGTACTCACATCATTAGTAAGGTCATGAATTCATTGGAGTTTGTTATCAAATAGCTATAAAGTTTGATAAAAAAAACAGTTAACTGTCACCAAAGATAGTTAGAGAAGCATAAATGTCTATTGTGCAGAAAAGTAGTTTTATTTATTTTTTCATCAGGTGCAAGAGGTGAAGCAGATGCCCAGAACATTACAGTCCTGGCCATGTGGATGATAGAACATCCTGGCAATGAAGATGATGAGGAACCTCAGTCAGGTAGCACTTCTGATTCACGTCATGGAGCAAGAGTTTCAGGCACCAGCAGTGGGAAGTCTAATGACCCTTGTTATTTGCAATCACCTGGGGACATACCATCAGCTGATGCTGCTGAAATGGAGGAGGGATTTAATGAAAGGTGAAATACTTATTTTAATTTTTCAATTCTATATTGCAATAGTGGTAAATTTCAGAAATGGTTTTAAATTCTACTTTGACTTTCCCGTACCCAAACGTTTTATGATCTATAGATTTCTTGAAAAATTGGGATACATTATCCAACAACTATTTATTAAGCCCCTCTGTACCGTGTATAGAATTTTGTGTAGGCACTGTAAGAGATAACAAAGATAAAATAAGACATGTTCTCTGTCCTTGTGGAATTTACAATTAGGAATGGTAATACTATATTGAACATTTTTAGGGAATTTACTTCGTGACAGCTTGCACCTGGGTTAAGTTGTGCCCTGGTTGTATGGCCTTGGGCAAGTCAGTTAACCTCTCAATGCCTCAGACAGTTCTTTAAAACTTAGTCACTAATTTTGTTTAGAAATAGAGAACATCAGCTTTTATAATTAAAACAGAGAGAGGTGTGTGTGTGTGTGTGTGTGTGTGTGTGTGTGTGTAAGTAAAATCAATCACAAACTTGGTGTTAGTTTTAAATTTTGGTGATTTAACTAACAAATCAGGTTGTTAAATTCTTTGTCCTTGGTATTAATTTCAATTATTTATTTAGTGACTATACAGTGATTACTTTAATGTCAAGGGCATTATGGTATTGGTATGGAAGGAGATATAAAATTTAGCTGATTACAGTTAATATCTTTAAAGACTATACAGTCTAGGTAAATAAGACAGAAAAAAAAACCAGATTCTGGAACACATATTATGAAAGTGCATTATGTTTTTTGTTTTTTGTATTTTTTTTAAAAAAGGTGCTATCATGATTGCTAGGGAGAAGGATGTTACTGACAAGTAGAATCAGAGAAGGCTTCATGAAGGTGGTGAGATTTGAGTTGGGCTTAAAAGATGAGTGATAGTCCACACCTAAGGAAGAGGGAAGAATTTGTAGGTATAAGAACATGAGAGGCAGAGCCATTCAGGCATATTCAGTATAAGATGCCAATAAGTTGACTGAAGTGTAACAGGTATGAACCATGAAGGTAGGATGATGCCAGATTATGGGGGACCTTGAGTAATAGGCTAAGGAATTGAACATTGATAAATTATAGCTAGCCACTGAAGATTTTTGAGGATAGGAGTGTCACAATCAAAGCTGTGCATAACCAATATTTTTTTTTGTTCAGTACAAAGGATGGATTAGAGAAAAAGAGTATAGAATCAGGAACTCTTAGGCTCTTTCAAGAAGCAAATTGTGTAGCAGTAAGTACTTGTATAAAGCCAATAGCAGTGGAAACATAGTGGAAGGAAAGACTATATGATATGTTGTAGAAGTAGAATCGATGGGAATTGGATTTAGTATGAAAGGTTGAGGGAGAAGGAATAGTCAAAGATAAATTTGGATATAGGGTTGTGAGTGTGGGATACACTAAAAGAAAGAGAACAAGTTCTTTCTCTAGGCAAGGTACTATACTAGGTGCTAGGAATAAAAAACAGTAGAAAAAGAAAATGGTCCCTATTTTGAAGAAGTGTATATTCTACTGGGGACTACAAGCTGTACAAAATCTTTCCCCTTCCCTCCAAAAAACAAAACAAAACAAAACAAAAGAAGCATTCTGAAGGGTAGAAAATCATTCCAGGAGAGAGCGTTAACTGGCTAGGAGTATTAAAAAAGGTCTTATGTAGGAGATGATACCTGAGCTCTGCTTTGAAGGAAGAGAGGAATTCTACATGGCAGAGATGAGGAAGTCATTCCAGAAAAGGGAGACAGGTTTTTCAGAGGCAGAGGTGGGAGATGGAATGCCATGTATATGGAATAGTTTGACTAGAATGGAGAGTGCATAAAGAAGAATCGTTAAAGAAGATTTGGTGGAAACCAGATTGTGAAGGCTTTAAATGCCATGCTGAGGATTTTGTATTATATTGTAGTAGGTATTGAAAGCCACAGAAGATTTTTGAGTAAGTGAGAGAGGGCAACATTGTCATTTCTATGTTTAGGTATATCAGTTTGGCAGCTCAGTGAAGATGAATTAAAGAGAGATGAGAATCTAGCCAGGGAAACCAACTAGGACATTATTAAAATTATCTAGGCAAAGAGTAGTGGTAGAAGCTGTATGAATAGAGAGAAGAGTATAGACATATGATGCTGTGGAGGTGGGAAAGACAAGACCGAGAAACTGATTGAATATAGAAAAGCTATTTTGAGAGATGATTGGAGAAGAATGATCTGGAAATAGCAGTGAAAGGAGTAAGGAGTATACTAACTCCCCTCTTCCATTGAGAGAAGTAGACTTCGTTGGACAGGGTTAAAAAGGGGTGTGGTGTCATCAGATACTGGCTTTCAGTTAAAATGATGAAGGAGGCAAAGAATCTTTGTTCTAAAGTTGAGGACTTATGGACAATGACAAGATTTTCCAAAGGTCATATGGAGTGTACTAGCTGGTAGACAAATTGTATAGATGTGGGCCTGAAGAAGAGTGATGCTGATGAAAATAGGGATGAGGGTTTGGGAAGAGGTGGTATGGACATGTTCTTTATACCTAAGAACGTGAGACTGGATGACAGGAATGGAGAATAAGTAAAATGGGAGATAAATTGCTCTGGTATGCATGAGTCGAAGAACTAAAATGATGGAGGACTTCTGAGGTCAATTTGCCCAGAATTCAAAATAAGAACATGCCTATATCCCTAGTAGGCTTCATTAAGATTTAGACCATGTTACCATTATATGGGATTCCTAGGCAAATAAGTGTGTTGAATTTAACTTCTTTGAAGTACAAAGATGAGAAATTTATAGATATTGGCTGTCACATTTGGTCTTGCTCAGATTAATCATTTTAATTGCTTTTACCTCTTATCTTGCATTCTAAGAAGTAGCAATATGAGTCAAAAGTTAAATCATTTTTCTACCTACAGTCATTTTAGTAATTACTTTTTGACCAAGTTGCAGAATATTGTTCCCTTTGTAACTTGGGGCATATGCAAGAAAAAAGAGGTTTGTTTCAGAGCATATCTATTGCTTAGAGTGATAAATTACAGGGTCATAGACTCACAGCCCTGGAACTGGACCTTGGAGGCTATCCAGTCCAATCCCTGAATTTTACAGTTGTGGAAATGGAGATGCAGAAAGGTTAAGTGACTTTTCCAAGGTCACTGAAGTAGTTAGGGTTCGATGTGAGATTTGAACCCAGGTTTCTTCTTCCAGAGCCAGTGCTCAGGTGCCTGTGATACACTGTCATTCTTTTCACTTTCTATTGACTAAATAATTACCTGATATATTTAAAACAAACAAACAAAAAAACCTTGTGCCTTCATTTATATTTAAAAATACAGGGGAAAATATCATCAAGTTACTTCATAACTGAGAATATTTGATAGATTATTCTTTCTGTCATTGTGATTTTTCATTTCTGCTTTTGTTTTGAAACTAATTTGCAGCACTGATAATTTGGATCATGCAGATAATACAGCTTCTGGAAGTGGACCTCCTTCCAGGAGTCGATCTGCAGTAACAAGGAGACACAAATTTGACTTAGCTGCTCGGACATTGCTGGCAAGAGCAGGTAATTCTATATTTCAGACTATTCTGTTTTCACAATCATAGATGTAAAATTGGAGTGAACCTTAAAGATTATTTAGTCCAGGTCCCTTATTTTATTTATGACACTAAAGCCCTGAACAATTCCATGACTTGATTATCACACAGATAGTAATTAACTAGCAGAGCTGTGATCCAGATCTAGTTTCTTTGACTCCAGTCCCAGTGCCCTTTCTACTTCAGCTTGTAGTCCCTTTGTGTCATTTATTTTTGAGTGTTCTTTATGTACTAAACACTATGCCAGGATTGTAACCTTAGAGCTAGAAGCAAACTTAGAGATCATTGAGTCCAGCATCCTCTTCTTATAGATGATGAAACTAAGGTCCAAACAACTTAAATGATTTGTTCAAGGTACTCCTCTCTCTGGTAGATCTGTATAATTACAGTAGTCTCTCCCTCTGGTCTCCCAGTGGTGTTTACAGCTTAGATAGGAGACAATACACACATTTTAAATATGACATTAACAAATGTTGACTTAATATCAACAGTAAGAAAGAACAGGCAACGTGATAAGGGTTCAGAGGGCGGCCAGTATTGGTCTTAGTTCAATTCTTTCTATTCTTAACTTCAAAAATACAGGGTTTTGTACAGAATGTAGAATTATCTGTATGTTAAAATATTGCTTTGACATTGGGGAGAATACTCATAATTTTTTAGTGGACACTTTCTTACCTTTGTGGTCATCAGTCAGGTAAGATAGCTAAACCCCCATCTGATACTTTGTTCTATGTTAGCAATTAAGATGGTCTGAAATGTTCAGAATTTTTTTGTATGCAAGTAAAACGTTTTTCTTTTTTTTTGTTCTGAGCGGGGTTATACCGTTCTGTACAGGCTCATAGGAATCAAAGTCGAAGAGAGGGAATTTCTTTGCAGCAAGACCCTGGGGCATTATATGACTTTAACTTGGATGAAGAACTGGAAATCGATCTAGATGATGAAGCAATGGAGGCAATGTTTGGACAAGACCTGACCGGCGATAATGATATTCTGGGAATGTGGATCCCGGAGGTATTGGATTGGCCTACCTGGGTGTGTGTGACTGCAGCTGGGGCTGCTTTGACTTATTTTTGTTGTGCTTACTATTCTTAACAGCTTATTGTCTGATATCTGAAGTTAAAGTGTTAGTCTTTGTGATAGCTATCTTAAAAAAAAAATTTAAATTCATTGCTTAGTTACATTCATTACTGCAAACCAATGAGAAAAAATTAAACAAAATGTCTTCTCTCTCTTTATGTATATTATTAGTTTGTAGTCTTATAATGAAGCATAGTATTTGAATTATTCTGTTGTTGTAGACAAATTATAGTGTAGGAATCATCTTAGGAAAATTAGATGCTCAGTGTAACAGTTTTTGTGTTAATATGGCTATTGGAATTCATAATTATCTTATATTCAGTCAAGATAACCTTTCATCCATTCTAAGAAATAACATGTACTTAGAACTTGCCAAAAAATTCTTTCCATGTCAGTCTATATAGTGGATCTAGATGTGAACAGAACAGAACATTATACTTCTCAATAACATGAAAAATTCACAAATTTACTGATTTCCGCTTGGAATTCTTTAACCATTAAATCCTTCAGAGAAAAGAAACAGTCTTAAATTAACTAAATAAATAGACTAGAATGTAATGATTTTGCAAGAGACTGTGAGAAATCCAAATATAGAAATATTAGGCATTTTAAATTGGAAACGAATTCCTTTTAGCTTTGAACCAACATTTGTAATGCCTCCTTGAGTTTTTGAGGTAGAGACAGTTTTTCATTTTTGTTATTGAGTATTTCTTAGAAGTCTTACTGGTTTGCTAGTTAATTCTTTCCAGGATGGGGAACCTGCAGCCTTGAGGCCACATGGGCCCTTTAGGTCCTCAGGTGCGGCCCTTTGACAGAATCAGCTTGGATTCAGGAGCCAAAGGAGCATCAGGAACAACGTTAGTGTGCTCTAAGAGATAAATTAATTGTTCAGAAGAAATTGTTAATAGAGCGCAGTTAAATTTAAAGCTAAAATTTTCAACTCACATACTTAGTACTTCAGTATTTAAACAGATCTATCATATCCTCATTGTGAATACTTCCTTCCACTGGTAGTAGTTTTAACCCATCCATGCATTGTCATCATTTGAAGTTCTATTCATGGCTTCCCATAATCTCCCCTAGAGGATTTACCTAATGCACTGACAATCCTCCTTAAGACTTTTAATTTCCTAGACGATGCTTTAACTCTTGGATTGCCCTTAGCTTGTCCTTTGCTTTCACTTTATGACCTGCTCAGTTTCAAAGGGCTTAATTTTTGTTTGTCATTTATGTAGCTTCTTGCATACAAGGCAGTGTTGCTAATACGCCACCACCAACTCAAGCCCTCTGTGTGTCTTTCCATTGCATTTTTGATTCTTCTGAAGTCGTGGTGTTCTGTGATTCACAACTATATAGCATCACTGGGAGGATAGGAATAAGAACTGGGCCAGTGTTTTTATTAGTATAGAAAACTCCCTTCACCAAAGCATGTTAGTAACTTCTGAGCAATTTTTAGTCAGAAGAAAGTATTGATATTAAAAAACTGAGTTTTTGTGTCAAGAAACCGCTTGGGAATTAATTGAAAGCACTGTATAGTTGTCCAGATGTTATCTAGCAGCTTATTTTCCTCCTATTCAATTCTAGGCTCAGTTCATTATTTACCTGCTGTATCTGTGTAAGATAGTTATGTAAGATATTGGTGGACTAAATTAAGAGTCATAGGACCTGAATTGGACAGGATCCCCCAAGGCTGCTACTGTAGTCCAGCCTGCACATGCATAAGAATCACCTCTAAAATATATTGGAACGAGTAGTTACTCATCCTTTGCTTAAAGACCTCTAGCGATGGGGAATCCACTGCCTCCTGAAGTGGCTTATTCCACTTTTGGGCAATTCTAATTGTTAGAGGATTTTCCTTTCTATTAAGTCTAAACTTACCGACGTGCAGCTCTTTTGCTCCTTGTACCTAGTTAATGTCTTCTTGGGCTAAGCAGAAAAAGTCTAGCCCATACCATGTGACAGCTTTGCAGATGCTTCAAGATAGCTTTTGTATCTCCACTAAATCTGTACTTCTCCAGGCTAAAGATTTCTAGTTCTTTCAGCAGTTCTTCATATGGCGTGACCACAACTGATCACTGCATCATAGATTTAAGACAATAAGGATAACCTTAGCTTAGTATGAGCCTCAAATTTTACTGATGAGGAAACTGAGGCACATAGAAGTGAACGAGTTGACCATGGTTGTACAAAGAGAGGATGCAGCAAAGCTAGAATCCAGCTTGGGTGCTCTAACCCAGGATCCGGTGCCCTTCCTACTGAACCATGCTGATCTCAAGGCTTCTTCTAAGGAATACAGTAGGACTATTAACTCTCAAATCCTGGACATAACTTTTCTTAATGTAACCTTGCATTAATTCTTTGACTGCCATATCACACTTTGATTTATTAAAGTTACAGTCCATTAAAACCCTCAGGTGTTTTTTTAGACAAACTTCTGCCTATCCATGGACTTCTCCCATCTTGTGCTTGTGAAGTTGATTTTTTGAATCCAAATGTAAGACTTTAAATTGATCCCTATTAAATTTCAACATATTAGATTCAACCTCATGTTATAGTCTCTCAGGATCTTTTCAGTGCCTAAATCTGTCGTTTCTTTTGTTATCTATTCCTTCTAGCTTGGTGTCATCTACAAATTTTAAAGTATTCTATTTTTGCATCTATGAAAGTCAATTTAAAAAAATTAAAACATTTTAAAAATTATTTTAAAATAGTCGATTCAGTGGACTACCTGTCCAGGTAGATATCAGAAGCCTAGATTTAGAGCTATAAGATTCTTCAGAGATAATTTTGTTCAGCCTCATCATTTTAGAACTCAGGAAACTGAGAACCAGAGAAGTAAATGTCTTTTGTCCAAGGCCACATGATTCAAAGAGTCAGGATTTGAACCTAGGTCCTTTGGTTTCAGATCTGTTTCTCTTTCTACTACATTATATAGTGTGGGCAATATGTATTTTTTTTCTTGCTTTGTTTTGTTGATTGCTAGGCTGATCTCTTTTGAGTGGTCATGAATTTTCAGGCCCTGTGTACTTGGTAGCTTATGTTAAAATTATATTCCTTTAATGCTGTGTTTTATATGATAACTGTAATGTCAGATATCAGCATAAAATAGAAATAATTTAGCCTGAAAATTATTTTACACAGCATGTTTGTGAGTCGGAAGACAGAGAAGAAGTGGTGGTGTGTGAGCTATGTGAATGCAGCGTTGTCAGCTTCAATCAACATATGAAAAGAAACCATCCTGGTTGTGGTCGGAGTGCTAACCGTCAGGGCTATCGGAGTAATGGTTCTTATGTAGATGGATGGTTTGGTGGTGAATGTGGAAGTGGAAACCCATATTATCTCTTGTGTGGCAGCTGCAGAGAGAAGTATTTGGCTCTGAAGACTAAATCTAGAACATCGACTTCTGAAAGGTATGAATTTTTTTTTTCCAAATATAGCTGAAAAAAGGGGTAAGGATATTGAAGGGGGTAAGGTCCTTGAAGAAGAAGCATTGTGTTTTTCTTATTTTTACTGACAGCTTATTAGCATAGTATATTGCATGTAGTAGGCTCTTTATAAATGATGTTTGAATAAATTGAATGATTGCTTACTAGGGTTTGATGTGGGGAAGAGGGAGGGTTTATCTGTTCCTAGATGAATGTGGAAGTAGAAATTCAAGATTACTGACTGTTGGGGATATGCTTCTCATTGTACTACCTTCTCTGTTGGGAATCTCTGAGAGGCAAAAAAAAAAAAGGGGGGGTGAGCTAGGAGGGATTGGTGACAGTGAATTCCATGGAATCTAATGAGGTCAGACTTTGATATCTATCATTCAGTTGTTATAGGCTAGCTGGGAAGCCCTGGCTTGAGAAGTGCATAGATCATTTGCTCACATCAGTAATTTGTACTTATTATCAGTTTTTTAACCAAACCATGGTTTTAAGATCATATGGTTGATGAAAATGAAAATAAGTTTTATAGCTTTGATTTAAATGCATTTATTTAAACAAACTTGGTTTTGGTGGAATAAATTGTCATAAGGAGTATTTTTAATTTGTCAGTTTACTGAGAAATTTTAGGGGGTTGCCACTCTTCAGCTTTTTTCTTAATATTATTTTATTTTCCTTGATACCCTTTTGCTTTTACATTACATTCATTTCTAAGTATATCCTTTCTTCCTCTCCTATCACATGACTCATCTGTTGTAACAAAGATTTATTTTTAGAGGGGAAAGAAGCGATTGAAAAAAACTAACCAATACATCGACTGAATCTTAAAGTCCATCAAGTCCACTTGATACGCATAGTCCCCACTACTTTGCAGTGATGAGAGGGAAATGCATTTTCTGAACTCTTTTCTGGAGAAGAGGTCGTTCATTATAATCACTTGACATTCAGTTTAAAATTTTTTGTTGTTTACTTTTGTATTGTTGTTGTTGTATACATTGTTTTCCTGGTTCTGCTTACATCACTAGGTACCTGTTTCTGTCAGTCCTCCCATGCTTCTCTGGATACTTTATGTTATTAGTTTTTTACAATGCAATGCTCTTCCCTTATTTATATACCACTGTTTGTTGGTCCATTCTCCATTCAATGAGCAGCTACTTGTTTCCAGTTCTTTGCTGACACAAAAAAGTGAGGCTATGAATATTTTGGTCTGCATGGGACCTTTCTTTCTCTCTTTGACCTCCTTGGGTGTGTATGTGTAGCAAGGGGATATCTGGATCAAAAGGTAGGGGCAGTTTTAATTCTTCTTTTAGTATAATTCCTGATTGTTTTCCAGAAAGGTTGGATCAGTTCACGCTCTAATCATAATTAATTTTTATTGTTATCTTTACCGTTTGTTGATTGTGAGGTGAAATCTCAGAGTTGTTTTGATTTGCATTTCTCTTGTTACTGACCTAGGGCAGTATTTCATATGGTTCTTTTTTTAAAACAAAATTTCATTGATATCTTTTTGCATCACCTATATTTCCTACTGTATTCTTTTGAAGCTCTCCCAGAGAGTCACCAGTTTTACAAAAAGTTTCACAAAACTAAAAAACACAAAAAAACCTATGCATTTATTGATCTGTATCTGTATTCCCCAACTTTTGCTGTGAAGCAGTGGGGAGGTATCTTCGCATATCTCCTCTTCAGAGCGAAGATTAGTAATTTCACAACATTCAGTTTAAATTGTTTTCTTATTTGTTCCATCAGTATAGTTTTAGTTATCCAAGTGTATTGTTTTCCTGGTTTTACTTTATTTCACTTTGCATCAGTTTATGTAATTTTTTTCCGTGCTTCTCTGTACTTTTCATGTTCATTCTTACTGCAGAATAATATTCCATTATTTTTATGTACTACAGTTTAACTATTCCTTATGGGCATCTACTTTGTTTCTAGTTCTTTACTACCACAAAAAATACTGCTATAAATATTTTGATGTGTAGGTAACCTTTCTTTTTTTCACTGACCTCCTTGGGATATCTGCCTGTTAGTGAAATCTCTGCATCAAAGGATGTGGATATGCCTTTTCTTTCCATAATTTCAAACTTTCCAGAATGGTTATACCAATTTACAGTTTCAGCAGTGCATTAGTTTGCTCATCTTTCCACTGTCTACAACATTGGCTGTTCTCATCTTTTTGTTATCCTTGCCATTTTGCTGAGTGTGAGGTGAAACATCAAAGTTGTTTATGTTTATCACTTTTATTAGTGATTTTATTATGCTTTGATAGAATTCTTCTTAGTTTACAGTCTTTCAAAAATTGTTTCTTCACATTTTTTGACCACTTATCCATTGATTATCCATCAACTATATGTAACTTCATAAATAAAATAGTTTGTTGGACTCTCAATTATTAAAGTCAAATGAAAATTTCTAAGATAATTTTTTTATTTAAATTTTCGTTAATGTTACACGGAAGCCTATATAAATTTTTTTAAATTTGATTTTGGATTCACATAAGTGCTTACTTATTACTCTAAAAGTTTTTATTATATAAGGAACAGAACATGAAGTTTATTTTCCTATTTTGCATAGTTTAAATTACTACTTACAATGTTTTAGTGATTTAACTTGCATTTCTGATTATTAGCTATGTTTTACAAAAATAAAATATTTGTTTTTTATTTTTGGTATAGGTACAAAGGACAGGCTCCAGATTTAATTGGCAAGCAGGACAGCGTGTATGAAGGTAGTTGTTTTGAGAGCTTCTCCGTTTCATTAGTAATCCATAGTTTATAGTATCAACACTAAACAATTTTCCTTAGCTATTAAGATTTCCGTATTTTAAAAATTTGTATTTATATTTAAAATTTTAATTTACCTAATAAATGAAAATGGAGTATATTAGGAAAAAAACCACTTAAATAAAAGATAAAGAATCTTAGTTCTGGTATTGCCATTGTTACTGATTTGTGTCCATGTGAAAACTACTTATGAAGTACTTGGAATGAGTTATTTCTTTGCTAACCCTATATGTGCATATAAAATATTTTAAATAAATGTGTGTATGTATGTGTGTGTATATATATATATATGTGAGTGTGTATACAGTTGTGAGTACGTGTGTATACAGTGTGTGTATTGTAGCTGTTGTAATCAGTGTGAAACATGTGGAGCTTCTCAGAGGTATTCAGTGCAAAAGTGAAATAAAATACAAGGATGAATAACTTTTGGAAGCTAGGTGGCATAATGGATGGGCCTGGAGTGAGGAAGACTCATCTTCCTGAGTTCAGATCTGGACGCAGACATTTACTAGCTGGGTGACCCTGGGCAAGTCACTTAACACTTTACTTCAGCTTCCTCATCTGTAAAATGAGCTGGAGAAGGAAATGACAAACCATTCCAGTATCTTTGCCAAGAAAATCCTAACTGGGTCCCAAAGAGTTGGTCACAACTGAAGAATAACAACAATTTTTGGAAGCAACATAATCAGTTTTTCTGTAGATTCTGTATAACAGGATTTTTTTTTGGCTTCTTAATAGAGTAAAACGTCACAAAATTTGTGTATTAAATCATATACATTTTAGCTTAGGAGAACCTCCAAATCTTTACTCAGAGTTTATTTTTGTTTACTTAGTCTTGCTTCTGATCATGCATCAGGTATGTGGTTTCATAGCCCATACAAGATTACAAGGCATGAATGGCTGATTGCTTTTGTTCCCCCTGATGTCTGACATCAGGGAAAGTAAGGTTTTGTAGTTTAATAGGGAAGAGTAAAAAAAAAAAAAAAAAAAAGCAAAGGCACAAACTCAAACGGAAAACTGTGTATATCTAACATAGGGATTTCTTCTTTTAAAATACCACTAGCACCTGAAGGCATTGTAGCATAACACAGTGACTTGTCATAGGATTTAGATATGGAAGAGACTCAGGGATCAGCTCTTCTAATCTCTTCCTGTTACAGAAGAGACACCTGAAGCCCTGGAAGGGGAAGTATGACAGGCAGTGAGCAATAGAGCAATCTCATATATTTTTTTTTTTTTTAATTTTTAGGCAGTTGGGGTTAAGTGACTTGCCCAGGGTCACACAGCTAGTAAGTGTCAAGTGTTTGGTCTGAGGCTGGATTTGAACTCAGGTCTTTCCTGACTTCATGGCCGGTGCTCTATCCACTGCGCCACCTAGCTGCCCTGATCTCATATCTTTTAGCAAGCCTGTGGGCCTGACTGTCCATACCCAGTAAACCCTGTATTTGTTCATTATGGTCTCCTGAGGTTATGAAGAGTGGGTGAAATGTATTCACTGTTTTTTGTTTATAACATCAAGAAGGCTTTGTGAATCACGTACAAGTCATTTAGCATTTCTTGCTAAAATTGTTAAGAAGTAATTGATCAGGGGCAGTTAAGTGGCACAGCGGATAGAGTACTGGCCTTGGAGTCAGGAGAACCTGAGTTCAAATGCAGCCTCAGACAGTTGACGCTAGCTGTGTGACCTTAGGCAAGTCACTTAACCACAATTGCTCACCAATTAAAAAAAAAGTAATTGATCAGTGAGAGAAGCAATTATTTCAGAAGTATACTTTTGTGGAACAATATATTCCTCAGCAGTGCTTAGGTTCATGCTGTGTGGCATGGGCTATTTATGCCTCATGCCAATAATTCTTAAATTTTTTGTAATATTAGTGAAATTTGTAATGTTGTGAAATGTATTGTCCTTGGTTTAGCTATAGTTGTGTTTGTGTAATTAATCCCATTACGTTCTCCCTTGGCTTCAGAGCAATGTATTAGTAAGATTATATCACCATGAGATAGCACCATTCTTGTTTGTTTGGTAGTATTTCTTTTAGCGAATGCAGCTTTGAAAATCTGGGTCTGTCAACTGTCACATCATATCGTCTAACTGGATGCCAAGCCTTATGTTTTGTGTATATATTCCCACCATTTGTTATTTACTTAAATTATAGAAGACTGGGACATGCTGGATGTTGATGAGGATGACAAACTTACTGGTGAAGAAGAATTTGAATTGCTTGCTGGCCCATTAGGTTTAAATGACCGGCGTATTGTACCAGAGCCAGTTCAGTTCCCTGATAGTGATCCACTTGGTGCATCCGTGGCAATGGTTACTGCCACCAACAGTATGGAAGAGACTCTGATGCAAATAGGTAAACTTAAATACATAGACTCAGAGTGCTAATACTGATTGTCCTTTCTTGGACAAACAAACACTCACAGGATTACAATATAGTAACAGTAATTTTTGTTTTTTTGTTTTTCTTAACAAGTCAGAGGCCTAGTAGTGTTCTATCCCAGTCATCAACATTTTAGCGTACAAGAACTTGATTTTTTTTTCCTGGGGTAATGGAAAATGGAAATGGTCCATATAAAATACTGCCTTTCTCATTTCTATTTGGGTATAGGACATACAGGAGACATGAAGAAAAGAAAGGTTAATGGAAATAGATACACATGCAAAAAACTAGAGTAAATACTATCGTAAAGAAAAACTGTTTACTGGAGATTACTATCCCTTCCAGTAGTCCATTTCAAGTGGTATTAAATACAACACAATTTCAAGAATTAAGAGTGAAAATGAATTTTGACCTGCATTGGCTATTTCTTGTACCTAAAATACATTGACTCTTGATTTTTGACTTGTTTCAAGACTCAGCTTGGGGCAGCTAGGTGGCGCAGTGGATAGAGTTCTGGCCTTGGAGTCAGGAGGACCTGAGTTCAAATCCAGCCTCAGACACTTGACACGTGCTAGCTGTGTGACCCTGGGCAAGTCACTTAACCTCGATTGCCTCACCAAAAAAAAAAAAAAAAAGACTCAGCTCAAATGCAACCTCCCAAACAAGGCATTTCTTGGCCCCCTTAGTTTCTAGTTCTCTCCTCCCTCAGAAATTATTTTGTATTTACTTTTTTTAAAAAATTGAATGTGAGCTCTATAAGAGTGGGAACTATTTCATTCTTAGCTCTTTTATCCTTAACTCCTAGCAAAGTATCTGGCGCATAATAGGTACCTAATAAAGGCTTGTCTAATGAATAAATTAGTATTGCTGTTTTTCGCTCGTATAAAAATCTGCCCTGAATTGGTGGATCCAAACGTGCTTTAATTATGGCATTTGATGCTAGTATAGCAGGGAAAAGCCAAGATATTTTTCTTGCTTGCTTATTCAGAAATAACTGGGGTTTTGTGTTCTACAGGTTGCCATGGCTCTGTAGAAAAAAGTTCTTCAGGTAGAATCACATTAGGAGAGCAAGCTGCTGCTCTGGCGAATCCACATGATCGTGTAATGGCTTTAAGAAGAGTGACTGCAGCAGCTCAGGTTCTTCTAGCACGAACGATGGTTATGAGGGCACTTTCCCTGCTTTCTGTCAGGTGAGTGTCAGTTTTTGTGTCCTGTTTAACTTTATATGTGAATCGTCATTGGAATAGTGGCATGGTATAGTTTGAGTTCCTGGGTAAATTAAAAGTTTTTAAATTATGGAATCTAGCCATTCTGCTAGGGGGATACATTTAAATTCATAGTTTACCTATAAATTCATCTACTACTCATAGAGTCAAGATATATAAGTCCATATTATAGGCTAGACTGTAATATGCACTGTGGTAAACACAAACATATTCACTGTTTTTGATTTAGTAAAATCAGTTTGTTGGGAAAAATTGTCAAGCAGGTTAATTGACTGAATAAGCCAATGTTTGGTTGAAGCAACTCAAAGATTTAAGTTAACATGGTTCATCTAGTGGCCCTTTATTGACATAGTATATTGACAAAATAGTGGGGGGAAAAGAATTACAAATAGCAAAAATACTTATAAGGCACAAAATACAGTAATTAAACTGAAGATCAATTGAAGTAAAAAGACTCAAAATAAAACAACGTAATGACAAAAAATTAACGTCTTGTGCTAATGACAACATGCTAATGCAGCTTATCTTTTATTTTTATTGCTACCTGTAATGCATGTAATGCGGGTTTTCAAATCATTTCTTATAAATCTAACAACTTCTTTTTCCTGTTTTTCATTTTTTAACAGTGGTTCCAGTTGTAGTCTTGCTGCTGGCCTTGAATCCTTGGGTTTAACAGATATCCGAACTCTGGTTCGATTAATGTGCTTAGCTGCAGCAGGGAGAGCTGGCCTCTCTACGAGTCCTTCCTCTATTGCTTCTTCCTCAGAACGTTCTCGAGGAGTTCATAGCAAGAACAACAAGCCAATATCATGTCTAGCCTATTTAAGCACAGCTGTGGGCTGTCTGGCATCCAATACTCCTAGTGCTGCAAAGCTGCTGGTACAGTTGTGTACGCAGGTAGATGGATTTCATCCACATTCATCTATTTGCTTCTCACCTCTTCCCACACACAGTCCCCCCTCCCTACTCTCTCTGTCTTAGCCCAGCATTGCTCTTGAAAATCATTGAATAGGAAATTATCTTTTATCCTAATTTTTAAAAAATTTGAAAAATGTTGTCTTGATTGTCTCCTTAGAACTTGATTTCTGCTGCAACAGGTGTTAATTTAACTACAGTTGATGATCCAATTCAGCTCAAATTTCTGCCCAGCTTTCTCCGAGGAATTGCTGAAGAAAACAAGCTTGTGACTTCTCCCAACTTTGTAGTAACTCAGGCCCTTGTGGCATTGTTGGCAGACAAAGGAGCCAAACTGAGGCCTAACTATGATAAAGCAGAAATTGAAAAGAAAGGTAGGCTTTATATATAGTTCAATCATCTTAATTCATGATAAAATCTGTTTTTTTACATGTTTTGTCACCTGTTTCATTATAAAATCTGAATTTTTGCATATTTTGTATTATATAACTTAGGAAATTTTTTGGGGAGGTAGAAGGGTACATAAAATAAATGCCCGAGTATATGTATGCTTGTGCAAGGAAAATTAGAAGATAAAGCCATATTTTTAGTCTTAATTTATTGCTGAAGGTAGTTTGAGAGCTACAATTTTTTTTTCTGCATAATTGTGTTTAGAAAAGGAAAGTGTTATTTTTTCTTTATGTTTAATTGGCCTAATGTAAAACTTGGAAATAGCTCAGAATTCTTTATATCCTACTTTTTATCTTCTTGGTCCTCCTAATCCATTTTCAGGTCTGAGTGTTAGTAATACTTTTTGAACAAGAAAAATTTGCTCTTCCAACCTGACTTCCCAGTTCTTCAGTGGGTCGATGGGATAATTTTGGAGCTTCAAAAGCTAAGGCCAGCATAATCTTAGTAGATACTACTTCCAACCTTCTGTAGGATTTCTGATGACCTCTATCTGTACTTTGCTCAGGGTAAAGACTTAAGTATATTTTATATGAAGTGTGAAAATATAATGACTCCATTTTCCTTTTGTATTTGCTTTGAAATTAACATTGCACTTTTGATACATATTTATAAAATTTCTCTTATAAAAATTTTTTCTGGGAAGATGTGGGTTATGCCACTTTTGCTTGTTCAGTACTGCAAACTCTCATCTGGGCATCATTTCACTGTTTTGTTTAAGCAGGTTTAATTGCCCAATTGTATGCCCATCCTTCCTATGATCCTTCTGCTGTAGGCCCTCTGGAGCTGGCTAATGCACTGGCAGCTTGCTGCCTCTCTTCAAGGTTGTCCTCACAGCATAGACAGTGGGCTGCTCAGCAACTTGTGCGGACACTTGCTGCACATGATCGAGACAACCAAACTAGTCCTCAGACATTGGCTGACATTGGAGGAGATCTGAGGAAATGCTTCTTTATAAAGTTGGAGGCTCATCAGAATAGGGTATGTATTGTCATGGCCCATAAACTTAGAGCTGTAAAAGACCGTAGAGATGCTCTAGTCCAACTTTCTCATTCTACAGATGAGGAAACTGAAGCCGAGTGTGGTTAAGTGACTTGACCATGGTCCCATGGGAGGTCCTCTAACTGTAGATTTCATGTTATTTCTGCTGTAGCATGCTGACTTTTGTGATTTATCAGTAATGGATTTTGAGTGTCCCAAATGATTCTAAAAATGTTTCTAAAATATAAAGCTAATTTCTCTAACATAAAACTCAATATTTAAGTACTGTACAGTCTTTCCATTTTAAAAGTCTGAATTACTTAGATTTCTCCGATAATTGCAAGCTCTCAGCTTTAAATAGGTCTGTGTAGACGTGGTGTTGCTCAAATAGAAAAATGAGATTTGAGTAGGAGAAAGTTCCTAGGGAAAATATTCACAAAATAATAACCTTATTCTTTCCTCCTAACTTTTGGCCTCCTCAATAGTTATAAAAAGTATTGTAGAAAGTGGAGTCTGACTGTACCCTCCCCCCTTTAAAATTAAGAACAAAAGGGGTAAAAAAAACCCTTCTCATTATCCATTTGTTTGAAAGAATTTTAAAATCTGTTTTTTTTTTAACATTTTAACATGTTTAGTGAAGCTTATTAATTTTCAAGTCAAACTTTAAACATCTCTCACAACACCAGAATATTCATTACTTTTTGGAAATTACAGTATGCTAATTCATACTCCAAATAATCACAAGTGTGATTTATAACATGTTTTGGAAGGAATAAGATTATACAAATTGCATTGCAGAAGTGGTAAGTTTTCTTTCCTTTTACATTGCCATGGGAATTTTCCCCTCTTCTTTCAGATGACTTTGGACTCATCTTTTTTCAAATTCTTTAGGTAATGACATGTGTTTGGTGTAATAAAAAAGGACTTCTAGCAACCAGTGGCAATGATGGTACCATAAGGGTTTGGAATGTTACCAAGAAACAATATTCACTACAACAAACCTGTGTATTCAACAGATTGTGAGTTTTAACACAAACATTCAACTTTAGAATAATTATATACATACAATTATCCCAAATGTATATTACTTTGCCTTTTTTAATTAAATAAAAGAGGAAAGATGCACTAAAGATGTTGATTTTTCCCATGTCTTCAGCAAAATTATACTTTATCTCCAATAAGAAATGCCTTTAATTTCTATTAAAGTAGCACAGAATATATACATTTTTTAAAAAGTGATGAATTTGAATTTATTTGTGGTTAAGCTGAGACTTATCATACTGGCAAAATGTTCAAGTGTTTAATGCATCATACTTGAAGTGTATTGTTGGTTCGTAGTTCTTTATAAATGATTTAAGAATTGTATCTATTTTAATCATTTTTACTTTAGTTTCTATACATACACATATGCATATATACACATATATACATACATATGGGGTGGGGGAACCAGACCTGTGATTTCATTGGTATAGTGAACTCCCAGTGAAGAAACTTCCTCTGTCAGTTCAGACACTGGCAGCACTAGGGAGTTATGCATGAATTTGATACCTCTGGCCTAGGGCATGAAAAGATGAGGAATTTGTTCTGGGTCACATGGTCATTAAATGTCAGAGGTGAAATTTGGGCCTAGGTCTTTCCAACTGCAAGGACAGATCTTTATCCACTGTACTACACGGTTTCTCATATGTTTAGTGATTCATAAAGCAGAATTGAATATCCTGTATATATTCTAACAGTCGACAGAGATAGATGGTTATGGGATTATGACTTCCCTAGGGGATTTAGTAAGTGGGAAATAATGAGCTCTGGATCTCATATACATAATCTTTGAGAAATCAGTATACTTTTGGTTAGTGAATTGTTTTCTTTATATAAATTGAATATTGAATATCATGGCAAGAAAGGGGAAGGTAGTCTAGACTTGGGATTTCATCAGTGTAAGTTCTCTTTATGTGGTAATTTCCTTCACAGATGAAGATCCGAAATTTAATTTAGCATCCTTAAGGGTTACATGACACAGAGAGGTTAAGGGTTTTACCCATAGTCACCCAGCTGTATGTTATCAGAGGCAGGATTTGAACCCTGACTCCAGGCTAGAATGCTGTCCACCAAGCCTTGGGTTCTTAATCTTGTGTCATGGACTATTTTGGTATAAGTGAAATCCGGTAAAAATCTCTTCTCAGAATGTTTTTAAGTGCATAAAATTAAACATATAAGATTGCAAAGGAAACAAATTATATTGAAAGACAGTTATCAAAATTTTTAAAAAAAAGGTTCTTACATCCCATATTGAGAACCCTTACAACTGAGCAATGCTTTCTCTCTCTGAATGTAGTATCACTATTTTTTTTAGGTTTATAAATTTCTTAAGTGTTAGATACAAGAGATTGTAGAACTCGGATAAACTTGCTGTCCTTGTAACTTATGCCTTCATGATTAACTGGACATAAATATATGAAGCCCATCATTTTGTTTGAGGGGTTTAATATGACTTTTAATAAGAATGGGGTTAAAGAATAGCTAACTCCAGAGATTTATACATATTACCTCTTATATTTTAGGGAAAGCGAATCAGAGGAAAGCCTGGGATCACCTAGTGATCCAAGCTTCTCACCTGTCTCTTGGAGTATCAGTGGCAAATATCTAGCTGGTGCTTTAGAAAAGATGGTGAATATTTGGCAAGTTAATGGTAAGATATGTATATAATTTTTGTTTGACACAGATGCTTTTTTCTATACAAACATAATTCTTTAAATCCCTAATAGACTATGAATATAGAACAAGTATACAACTGTCATGTTAAAGCCAATTGTGTATAGTGCCAGGGGTGGAGAACCTGTGACCTCAAGTCACATGTGGCCCTGTAGGTCCTCAAGTTGTGGCCCTTTGACTGAGTCCAAACTTCACAGAACAAATCCCCTTAATAAAAGGTTTTGTTCTTGAAAACTTGGACTCAGTCAGAAGGCTGCACCCAAGGACCTAGAAGGCCACATGTGGCTTCAAGGCTGCTGGTTCCCCACTCCTGGTGTATACCATTCATTTTTCTTTGTTTTTTAGTCCAAACATCAATACCTTTGAAAACATATAAACAAAAAAAACTTAACACCTTAAGGTTAAAGCTCTTGCATAGCCTGGATACATTCAAGTACTTACAAATAAAATAAACTATTTCACAGAATTTCCAGTCTAATCGTTATAACTAATCCAGTAGTTCCCATCAAGCTAAGAGTTCTGTTTGTTTCCTAGTTGGAGGTTAGGGTTAGGAGAGATTGTAAAGAGAATTTGTTTGCAGTTGCCACACATATAATAGGCGTTTTATAAACATGTGTTAAATTGAACACTACCTTAGTATAGATGATAAGGTCAGTTCTGCATGTTTATGGTAGGTGACTCTTTGTCTGTAAGGCCTTCCTTGATTCCTCCCAGTTGGTAATGTGGTCTCCCTTCTCAAATTACTCTACATCGTGCTTGTCTGCGTATGGGTTTTATCCCATGTTTCCCCTCCTCCCCAGTAGAATGTCAAGGCAGGGATTATTTTATTTTTGTCTCTGTATTACCAGAACATAACATCATATGTGGGATGTCATTGGCACTTAATGATCTATTGGTTTGCATTGAAGTTTGTCTTATTTTTAGTATAGAAAACTCAATATTTTGTGTTATTTTTTTATGTCCACCATAGTATAGGACATAGGACATAATATTTATTATGTCCACTCAATGACCTTTGATGGGTCATTGTTGGCATCATTGTAAACTTCAGATCCAGAAGGTTATGCCAACAGGATGCGTAGTTCTAGTGGTTCCTACTGATCTCAGAAGTCTTTAAGCAGAGCCTCAAAAATAAACTGTTGTCTCAAAACCAGCCTATCTGAGTTTGCAAAAGTTCATTCCCCTTCAGAAGGCTGGTCACTGGGTGATAAATTATTTTGTCACAACAACTCATGAAGTTATTTATAAAGGCATAGGAGGTGTTCTGATCTCTATTCGTGGAGGAAGTACCCATACCAACTAAATCACAGATTTATTAAATATCAAAGTATATTCACTCTAACAATTAGGAAAGAAAGTGCCCCATATAGATATACATGCAGATGTATGTGCATTTGTATACTTATTTACAGATATACTACATTGTCTCTTTTCTTTCTGAAAGTATCATTTTTATCATATTAGTATTCTATATGGAATCATAGAATTTCGAAGTTGGAAGGGAACCCAGTGACCATCTAGTCCAACTCATAACTGAATAAGAATCATGTCTACAACATTTAAGGAAGTCCAGTGAGTCTACTATCTCCCTTCTGCTTTTGAATTGCCATAATCATTAGGAAAATTTCCTTTATACATGAAGCCTAAATTGATCTCTTAGTAACTTCCAACCATTGCTTCCAGTTTGCTCCGTAGGGCTGAAAAGAACCAAGACAATCCTTTTCCCACTTGATAGCCTGCCCTTCGTGTACTCATTGAGGACAGCTTTCAGGCTGTGTCATCTTAAGTCTTCACTCTCTAAGTTGAATATACCTACTTCTTCAAGCAGTCTTCCTATATGTACTCTTTTCTGGATTCTCTCCAACTAATTAATGTGCTACTTAAAATGTAATACTCGGAACTGAACACTTATGTGGTCTGACCTAGTACATAATACAAGACTGTCACTTTCCTGGATGGAATACCTCTTTAATGCAGCTTAAGATCACATTAGTTTTCTTTCTGTGCCGTGTTATACTGTTAATCCATATTGAGCTTGTAGTCCCCAAAAATCCCACTTCATTTTCAAACTGTGTTGTCTAGCTGTGTCTTCTCACTCCCCTATCTTGTACTTGAGATGTCTCTTTGAACCCAAACAGAAGACTTTACCTTTTTTCCTACTACATTTTAGCTTTTTCAGTTTAGCCCAATATATAACACACTGTATTTTATTAAAAATAATCTGTTATTTTAAAAGTATTATGTAGAATATATTGGGGCAGCTAGATGGCACAGTGGATAGAGTGCTGGCTTTGTAGTCAGGAGGACCTGAATTTAAATCCAGCTTTGAACACTTACTGGTTGTGTGACCCCAGGCAAGTCACTTAACCCTGTTTGCCTCAGTTTCTCATCTGTAAAATGAACTGGAGAAGGAAATGGCAAACTAGTCTAGTATCTTTGCCCCCCCCCAAAAAAAACCCCAAATAGGGTCACAAAGAGATAGATGTGACTGAACAACAGAACATATCATTTAATAAAATATATTGAATATAATTTAAGCTTTTCTTGATTACATTGTGAATATCTATTGTACGATTTCATAATATGGTAGTATGCTTAAATAACTCAGGAAGATTTATCATCCCAATTAAAAGTCCAAAACTGTATAGCGTTTGTCTTCCTTTATTCTCTGCCTCTTCCTTTAGATCATCCACTGATGATCTGTCAGGATACCTGCCTCTGAAGCAGTTTCTCTGGCTTAGCTTTTCCTACGTACCAACTTGGTGCTTTGAATCTGCTGTGCCCTGGAAAGCCCATATGGTTCATATAGTAATATAATAATAGTACCCCTTGCTACCTCTATTACGAAATATTATTTTGCTATCATTTCCAATCAGCAAAACAGAATTTCCAGTTTTAATGATGAAGATGAACTCCTATACATATAATAGTAGGTCGTAGTGATGATAATAATAATTATAATAATAACTGGCATTTATGTAGTACTTTAAGGTTTGCAGAGCATTCTCTTATAAGTGATCTCCTTTGGTCCTCACAATAACAATATGATGTGGGGTAAGTCCAGAATTCTATTTACTGTGCCATCTAGTTCCCTGTAAAATGTTATGTAATATAAAAGGAATCATGGTAAAATTAATTCTGTAAGATCTGATTGCTTTCACACTTTAATGGGCTGTGAAATGATTTGACATTTTAAAACTACATAAGAACTAAGTAGTACTAGTTAATATTTCTTTCTCTTAGGAGGAAAAGCATTAGTAGATACTCAGCCACATTGGGTATCTGCTCTGGCTTGGCCAGAAGAGTGTCCAACTGCAACATGGTCATCAGATTCTCCAGAATTATTGTTAGTGGGACGTATGGATGGATCTCTTGGGCTAATTGAAGTTGTAGATGTGTCAACCATGCATCGAAAGGAGTTGGAACATTGTTATCGAAAGGATGGTAAGAGATGATTTCTGACTATGGGACTTTGATAGTTTAATCATAAATTTAACATTATTATGTCTGCCTTCAAAATGGATTTTTCCCTAGGTCAAGTTGGTGCTTCATTTGAATTGGTTACTACTTGAAAAGTGATTTTTACCTGAAAAAGAAGGGAGAATAGTGGTCTAATATGAATGTTACTGATATTTTGTGTGAATGACCTAGGAGTTGAAACAGGCTCCAAGACTCACCTGTCTGAAGGTTGAGCTTTCCAGAAAAGTAGCCAGAGGTATAAAGGCAAGGGCATTTCCTGCTTTCCCTTTAGAATTCAGTATTTGCAAACAAATAATAGATCACCTTTGTATTGTGCTTTATGCTTTACTAAACATTTTTTCCCCAACAGCCTTTTGAAGTGGGTAGTAGCAGTATTTTTAATTCCTATTTTGAAGATTAGGAAGCTGAGTAGCTTAGGGAGACTAGGAATTGTCCATAGTCACATAGTATAGTCAGAGTCTCAGATCCAAGCATCCTGATTTCCAGTGCTTAAAAAGGACAGTGGAGAGCTAGTCTTTTTCACTACTTTATTTATGGAAATCCCATTACCACCAATTGGCCACTTAGAAAAGGGTATTAGAGGTTTATTTAAAACTATCTGCTCTCAGAGAACTTTTATTTTAAGATCCACTAATAAGCATTTGATGACCAAACACATTCCAATAGGGTATTTTGGACAAATAGAGAACAGAATACATGTAATGTGATATAAAAATATCTGCATGTTTTGTTTTATGACTTAGGTCACTTATTGCCAGCCTTTTCAAATATGAGGATCTCTTTTTAATGAAAGAAATGTTTGGGTTCCCATACATGATAGTAATATATTCATTTGGTTGAATGAGAAAATATATAATGAATCAAAGCTATCTATTCAGTAGCAGTTTTGAAAAGTTAGTATTTAATCAATAACAACAGTGGCTTCACACATGCCAGTGCATATGTATTTGAGATACTTAGTTTATAGAAGGAGGTTTGCTTCTTATATTAAATCAAACAGTATTTTTTGCAGTTAAATAAAAATTAGAATGACAGTATTTGGGGCACATGTGTATTTGTGGACCCCTTGCACTAACTTCTTGGTCCCCATGCTAAACACTTACATTGACTTAGGATATTTGGTTCTCCCCTTTAGGATATAACAGCGATGAAAAAGCAGGGTAGAGTGGGGGTAAAATCAGAGAAGGTACTTGTTAGGATTGTTACTGTTTTCTAATAAATATCCAGAATAGAAGGAAAGCCTGGAATGAGGTTATTCTTATCACTTGTGAATAGTACTTAAAAGGTACCAGAATTGGATGTGGGGGTAGCACAGTTATTATCTTTGATCAACATTTAGTGTAAATGCATTCAAAAGAATTTGGAGAGATTACCTTTATTATTCACTTCATTGATTTAAATCATTGTATGTATTATCACTTTCTATTAAATTGTGACCAACTAATCTAGTTTATTTGCTCTATTCTCTAGTATCTGTTACCTGCATTGCCTGGTTCAGTGAAGATAGACCTTTTGCAGTGGGATATTTTGATGGTAAATTGTTGTTAGGAATGAAGGAACCACTTGAAAAAGGAGGCATTATTCTGGTTGATGCACACAAGGTTAGCCATTTTTGCAGATTTTTCAGCTGTTCTCATTTTCACTGATTAAAATGATGGTATCTTAAAATTTTTGTGTTTGGATAGACAGATATTTTAAAACAGTATACAGCTCTTCAAGACCTTCAGCGCTTAATTGAAATTTAATGATTTGGTAAAATCTATGCACACAAGTGACAACACTTGTGCAAGGTTTTGATTTCAAAGTAATTAAGTAGCAAAAATATAGGTTGTATTCATTGAAAGACAAGGTCTACTGATTATGAGCTCTTTTTGTTTTGAATGCAGAAACTTGTGAAATATAAATCACTTATATGCTTCCTTATTGTTTAAAAGGCCTTATGAAAAGAGATGTTTTCTTAAATTTCCTTTTTTCCTTTCCATTTTTAAGGACACTCTTGTTGCTATGAAGTGGGATCCAACTGGTCATATTCTTATGACATGTGCCAAAGAAGAAAATGTGAAGCTTTGGGGGCCCGTAGCAGGTTGTTGGAGATGTTTATACTCACTTCCACATTCGTCTATTGTGAATGGCATTGCCTGGTGCAGCCTTCCAGGGAAAGGACCCAAGTTGCAATTATTGATTGCTACGTATGTTACCATTCTCTTATCTTGTAGCCAGTATTCAATTTTGAATTTTTTGAATTCACTCAATGAAATGTCTGCCTGTAGTGTGGAAACAATGAGGTGCATAGGTACATTGTAGAGAAGTGAAGAAATACCGACTAAAATTATGGGACACATTATTTACATAGCATGATATAATAGTAGATCTAGAATCATCCTTGGAACTAGATCTGGATTCAAGTAATATCTCTAATGCGTTTGCCTGGGGGACCCTGAATGATCTCCTAAAATTCTCAGTATTCCAGGTAACTCTCCAGTATATGTTGTAAAATAGCTACCATTCTGCATTGATAGAGGAAGTTTCCTTACTAGGAGTTCCTTATAGCAATGAAATCACAGGACCAGAGTCCCCCCAACATACACATATGTTATTTAGGAATGATATATAATGTATACTATGTGAAAATATTGAATAATATTTTTGTTGGTATTATCATAAATAATATGCTTTTTGAAATATACACTTATACATTGATATATATTCTGTTTTTGTGTGATCTGTCTTTTCTTTTAGTGGTTGTCAGAATGGTTTAGTGTGTGTGTGGCGTGTTTCCCAAGATGCATTGAATATATTACAGTCTAGCTTAACTAGTTCTGAAGAATGGTGGGAACAAGAATCAAACAGCAAGGTAAATATTCAGTGTGTTGTAAGACTTGTTGAAAAGGGTTTAGGCTGTTTGACCCTGTCAGGCATATGCCAAAAATAAAAGATAATTTAGAGGATTTTAAATGATCATTAGAACTTTTGACCTGAGTGAACTATAATTGAATTTATTTGCTTTAAAGTTGATTTATTTCATTATAAAGTCATTCTACATTGTGTGTGTGTGTGTGTGTGTGTGTGTGTGTGTGTGTGTGTTTTAGTGGGAGTAACATACCATGCTGTACCCAGTGATTTTTATGTAAATATTTGTTGGTGATGATTGGTTCTGCTTATACGGGCAAAGTTGGCCTTTTGTTGGATGGAATTAGAAAATTTTATGGTATTATTTGAATGGTGCCAAGAAAGTGGCACCTTCCTCCTCCACCTGATGTCTGAAGTTCTTCTGTTAGAGACTTAGTTCTTTATATTGACCTCATCCTTGGCTCCAAGATACAGTTCCTTCTGGAATGCATAATAAATTGAATCTCTAATATTTGCATGTGAATGAATTCAGCACAGACTTTCCTCCCTGAACACAGAGAAGGAACAGCCTGATGGGGAAGAGCAACCACTCAAATGGAGTGAAAGCTACCAAAAAAGTAGGAATCAACTAAAGACAAATCTGGTTTCCTTCACAGTTTTGCTAGTATCTAGTCTTGCTAATTAACATCGAATTGTATTGAAATTGAATCATAGGATCATAAAATATTGGCTCTGAAAAAACCATGAGCCTTCATTTAGTCCAATATACTAATTTCTTCAAGGAAGTTGAAGGAAGCCAGAGAGAGATTCAGTGTCAAATAGTGGCAGAGTCAGGCCACTGCCAGCATCTCCTGATTTAGTCTAGTACTCTCTGAATGTAGGTCTGTGTTTTTAAAAGACTGAAATAGAACAATTCTGAAAACTTCTTTAACTTCTTTCATTTGTGTTTTAATTTAATTAATAATTATACACATAAAATAATTAAAATTTAATTAATTAATTGAAAAAACACAATTTGTGTTTTAAAAGACCTAAGTCTGATTTCAGTTACAGGGAAGTTATACTTTAATAGTTTATGCAATTATACTAAAAAAGAAGTGCTGTTTGTCTTCTTGTTTTCAGTTGCTTATTAGTACACAAATAGGAAAATAATTATAATCACTGAGCTTAGGATTTGTGAATACTATTTTTATTTCAAGATCTGTAATTGTGAAAATGAATTACAGGATAACTACAGAAAATCTGCAGGTGCCAAGTGTGTTTATCAGTTGAAAGGGCACATCACTCCTGTTCGTACAGTTGCCTTCAGTTCTGATGGTTTAGCGTTGGTATCTGGTGGACTTGGTGGACTTATGAACATTTGGTCTTTAAGGGTAAGGGCATACATTTTATTAAAAAATGTAATTTTTATATTTGCTTAAATAATTATCTTTAAATGAGCCCAGGCAATACCAATATATCTTATTTTGAAGATAAAATTTATTTTTAGAGTCTTCTGTCCTTGATTGTTTCGGTAGGTCAGAAATACTTTGAAGACTAACTTGGGTGATATGAGTTAGTGAAATACACACAGTGGACAAAGATGCATATATGTTTGAAGGGTTGGTTATTTAGGATGTAGTTATGGAACTAGATACTGGCATGTTGAATTATCATTAAGAATTAAAATATAAATTTACTTCATTTCAGGATGGTTCAATATTGCAAACTGTTGTGATAGGATCTGGAGCGATTCAGACTGCAGTGTGGATTCCTGATGTTGGAGTAGCTGCTTGCTCTAACAGATCAAAGGTAACTTTATCGTTACAGAGAATCAAAGAGTACAGAGATGAAGGGAACTCATGGGTCGTCTTCAGTTTATATCTCAAGCAAACCTAGAAAGATCACATGATTTGTTTAAAATCATACCTTGATAGCAGTAGAGACAAGACCAGAAATGAAGTCTTTTGACTCTCATTCATTCCTGGTCTTATCACATTGCCTCCATTTTGTTGTCAAGTTATTTTATTTTAATGTAAATCAGGAAAGATTAGCTTATTGACTCCCTAATGAATATTTTAAGATTGTACCAAACTAGGTCAGATTATTTATCCTGAAAAAAGTACCTATGAAGACTATATTTTAGTTTGCAAGTTTAATGTTAGTAAAGTTATTACCTTCTATTGTAAAATATTCTGTGATAGAGTTACTACATATATTATTGTTTTGAAGCTGCTTAAGTTTTGGGTTTGTTTTTTTTTTTTTTTTTGAGGAAGTATGTTCAAGTGAGAATTACACACAATACAACCACTCCACTACATGTAACAAGTGGTTTTTAAGTGGAGGGCAGAAGTTGGAGCTGTATTTGCTTTTAATTCAGCCTGCTCTAGAAGTAGAAGAAGGAAACATAGCTTCTTCCTGGGTTCTAGTGGACATAAGAGAATTTTGAAAGATGCTGGATTTTGTGAATCTTAATGAATTTAATGAAGCCTAACCAGTAGGCAAGTAGCTCTTTTTAAAAGATCAAATTCATTATAAATTCATTCTAAAAGACATTTGCTCCTTGAAAGGAAAGCTATGGCAAATCTGTACAGCATACTAAAAAGCAGAGACATTACCTTTCCAAAATAGGTCTGTATAGTCAAAGCTATGGTTTTTCTAGTAGTAATATATGTCTGTAAGAGTTGGACTTTATAGTGCTACAGAATCAATGCTTTACATTTGTGGTGTTGGAAAAGACTTTTGAGAGTCTCTTGGACAGCACAGAGATAAATGAGTCAATACTTAAACAAATTAAATTCAGACTACTCATTGGAAGGACATATACAGAAGCTGAAGCTTAAATACTTTGGCCACATAATGAGAAGACAGGACTCATTGGATAAGACCTTGATATTCAGACGGATTGAAGGCAAAAGGAGAAGGGAACAGCAGAGAATGAGATGAGTAGTGTCATGGAAGCAATGACCACGCGCTTGGAAAGAGTTTGGTAGATAGCTAAGGATAGAAGAGCCTAGTGTGCTATGGTTCATGGGGTCATGAAGAGTCAGACACAACTGAACAAATGAACGACAACAAAGAAGAAAAACGTAGTCAATGTACCTAACTAAGGCTTATCATCTCCTTAGTTTTTTCATCCCTAAATATTTAGCATAATGTAAGATTTCATAGCAGGTAAAATTGCAGAACAGAATGTACAATAAATATGTATGTTTGAGACTGCATTTTATTTATATTTCGTTCAGTCATTGAAAGAAGTTTCCAAACTGATAGTAGTGAAGTAGACCTTTATTTTTTCTTCTCCGTATTAACTGTGCATATTATATTTTAACCAGGATGTTTTGGTCGTAAGTTGCACATCAGAATGGGTAGCTGCCAATCATGTTCTGGCAACATGTAGGACTGCCTTGAAGCAGCAAGGTGTTTTGGGATTAAACATGGCTCCCTGCATGAGAGCCTTCTTGGAAAGATTACCCATAATGCTTCAGGAGCAGTATGCATATGAAAAGGTAAGAAGTTAAACCTAAACTCAAACGTAAGACACCAGAAGTGTGTATAACATTCTCAATATAATTTTTTTTCTCTCCTTACATTCTTACAGCAACTACTGTAGTTTAAGCTCTTATTCCTTCTTACTTAGACTGTTTTAATAGCCTTGTTATCCCAGGTGTTTCTGCTTCTAGATGCTCCTCCCTTTAGTCCATCCTTCACATCTCTCTTCTGCCAGTTATTCTTGCTAATAAGCTACTGCTTTGATTATGTTCCATCTTTACTCAAAATTCTGCAGAAATTCCCCATTGCTTGTGCGTCTGTCTGTCTGTCTACCTATCTATCGATCTGTCTGTCTATCTAGTTCTGGTCCTGGCATTCAAGGTCCTTCACAGGGGATTACAACTGATCTTCCCGAGTTTATCTTACACATCTCACCTGCATGTAGGTCAGCACAAGCATTTAGCCATACTGGACTTTTATCTAGCTCATGGTCTCAGAACATTCTCCGTTTTCTTTGTGTATATCATTTCTAGGACATGGGACTCCCAACATATCCTTTATATATTTGTCCCTTTCTTTATGGCCCAATTCCATATGGCCAGCTTCTATATGAAGCCTTCCCCTATCATCTGTCTCCCCTCTTTCTCCCTCTTCCCACCCCCAAGCAAAGGTGAAAGTGCTTTTCCCCACCTCACATGGCTTATAGTTGTTGGGTTGGGTTGTTTTGGGTTTGTTGGGGTTTTTTTTGCCTAGATTTCTGCTTTGCATTTTTCTCACACTCCCTTGTTTATATCACAGTTATTTGTGTAAATATCTTTCACATTAGATCATAAACTTCTTAATTCTTAATAGAGGCCTACTGTCCAGCTCCCTTAAACCCACTCAAGCAAAAACTCAGAATTTGTACTAGATCTTATAAAGAGCAAGAAATCTAATGTGAAACCATAGTAAGTGATTTCTTCCATCCCACAACTGAATAAACGGGAAAAGGGGCTTCCGTGGGTTTCCTCCATGAGAGAGGAGGCAGCTTCCCAGCATGACCGAAAGTAGCCTTTTGGTTTCTGTGTCTGAAGAATAACAGATAGATTAAAGGAGACATTAGTCAGAAGCAAAACAGACTTTTGAAGAGGGGGCAGGGATAAAGAGAGGGTGGTTTAAGAGAATAGGATTGAGGGAAACACACAGCGATCAGAACTGTGAAAGTGATTGGGATGAATTCATTCGTAAAATGAATTGGCAACCAGAATATATTGTTAAAAAAAAAAGAGAGATTCTTAAAATCTAGCCACTGCTCACTAATGTTCAGACTCCTTAAGAGACTGACCAATATGGCAGATGTTCTAATAAATCTTGTCTTTGGCTGAAAAAAATAAAATAAAATAAAATAAAAACAAACAAACCAAACATACTTGACACAGAAAGATATAGAATTAAATAAGGAGCTAGAAAGAAAAATCTGTTACACTTCAGATAAAGTTAAAGTGGCGGGGGTACATTCATGTTCTCAGACAAAGAAAAAACAAAAATAGACCTAAGTAAGAGAAGAGGAACAGGGAAATGACATTTTGCTAAAAGGTATCCTAGGCAGTGAATTGTTATCAGTACTAAAATATGTGCACCAAACAGCATAGTATCTAAATTTATTTTAAAAAAAAAGTTAAATCAGTTACAGAAAGAAATAGACAGTAAAGCTATAATAGTAGAGTAAGGGGTAATTTTACCTCTTAGACCTAACTAAATAGATCCACAAAATAAGCATGAAAGAAGTTCGAAACCTGATTGGAATTTTACAAAAGTTAGGTATGATATACATCTAGAGAATATTTAATGGGCATAGAGAGTATTGTACCTAATTCTCATTTGTGTCTGGCACCTGCATGAAAACTGATCGGGCAGGGCATAAAAACCTTACAAAAATGCAGAAAAGCAGAAATATTAAAGCATCTTAAATGCAATTAAAATTACCTTCAATAAAGCACCTTTGAAACAAGGAATAAAATTATTTAAACACTGACTTAATCCTAAAGAATGTGTTGAACAAATCATCATAGTCAGAGAACAAATCATAGACACAATTATTTCATTAAAGATAATTACAGCATTGAGAACACATAAAATTTGTGAGATGCCTCCAAAGTAATACTTATGGGAAAGTTTATATCTCTAAAATCTTTCATCAATAGCAGATCAATGAATTGGGCATGCAACTAAAAAAACTAGAAAAATAACAGAGTAACCTCCTTTCCCTAATTAGACACCAAACTAGAAATCCTGAAAAATCAAAGAAATTAATAAAATTGAAAGTAAGAGAGATAATGTATTAGCTAATTTGACTTTAAAAAAGAAAAGCAAATTACCATTACCAGAAATGAAAAAGTTAAATTCACATCCAATGAAAAAATAAGAGCAATTATAGGGTGCCACTTTGCCCAGCTATATGTGAAATAAAACTGACAACATCAATAGAGACAGAACCTTTGCCACCTCATTTCTGTTTTGAAGAGGTTGTGAGGATCAGAGAAAATGGCTTATCCTCTATCTTCTTTGGTCACGTGACTCAGAGGTCTCCCCACTGTCTTTCAAAGACCATTTAACAATGGATTGACAATTATGTAGGTCCAGTGATCTGAACTTATTGGAGTCTGTTGGTTGCTTTTTTATTCATCTCAGTAATATAGGGTTTCTATTTCTTGTTAACATTTACTTTTCAAATATTCTCCTTGGCAGAGAAAACAGAAGCAAAATAAAGAGTTGAATGATCCTTCCCTCTGTTTTCTCCTTTACCACTCTGAAAAGTGATCCTGTCCCCAACATAACTTTAAAAAAGAAAGCCCTTTTTTATTTTTATTTTTTAGAATTCATTATCAATCTCAGTTCATTCTGAACTTCAGTGCATCTGACATTGTTCTTACAGAACTAAAGATTTTGTTTTATTTTGTTTTTTGTTGGTGAGGCAGTTGGGGTTAAGTGACTTGCCTAGAGTCACACAGCCAGTGAGTGTCAAGTGTCAGAGGCTGCATGTCTTTCATAAATTGTTGAGCCCTTTGTGAATATCCATTAATTTCTCTATATGGTTTCTTTTCCTACTTGTGATCTTTGTTTTTGTCCAAAGAATTTCATTCTTAGGAGTTTCTCCTTCTTTTTGAGCCAGCTTTCCTAATTGAATTTTAGGCACTTGGATTGTTCCAGTCTTTTCTCTGAACCCTGAAATTAGTTCACCTGACAGTTAAGTTATATTTCAGAATATATACATGGTTCTCTCCTTTTCTACCACAAATTCTAAGGTGGGCCTTCTGTTACCTTCTCATTATTTCTACTTCACCATAAAATTTCTTCTTGTTCATCAGAATCAGATCTGGAATAGTAGTCTTCTTGTTTGCTTCTTTTACTTTTAAAATAATGAAATTATTAAAGTATTTATTAGTTCTGTTTTTGACAGAGAATTCCTGCCTCACTTGTTAAAGTTTAGATTATAGGTGCCTAGATTGTTGTGATGTTTCCAAAATGGTCTATAAATTGCCTCCTCTGTCCAAATAGTCATTAATATATTTCCATAGCAGTATTATTTCTGTTTTTCCCTCCATTTATTCTCATCCAAGTGCTCTCTACTATGATCTTGACTTCAGGTTGTTGGATTTCCTTATATCTTCTTGATAAGCTATTCCAATACTTCTTTTTATCTATTCTCATCATTTTGATTAAGGTATACCCGTCTAGAGCCATATTTTAGTCACAGGTCAAAGAATTATAGATTCTCAGAATTTGAAGAATCCTCAAAAGCCATGTACTCCAGTCTTTACTTGAACAAAAATTCACTTTTCATCATATCTGTAAAGTGGCAATCCATTTTTTGCTGGAAATCTTAAGTGAGGGGGGGAACCTACTTCCTGCCAATGTAACCATCCCTTGTATTTGATAATGTATATAAATCACTTTGCAAACCTTAAAGCATTATATAATTGTTATCATTATCATCTTATTAGGTACACAACTTTGTGTGTATAGACATCTGAGAAAATATTTTCTATTACTGACTCTCTTGGGAACATATTTCTGTGAATTACTGATTATTTCTACTATTCTTCATACTTTGTTGTACCTGCTGTTCTCTATGGTATCTGCTTGATGGATGTATAAAGGCAGTTTTCTTCCATCCTCAACCATCTTTAGTTTATAGACTATTTGATCAGATTCTCAACATTCCATAATTTTTTTAATGATCTGTCATTAATTGCATTCCATTATTCCTTTGTTGTTAGGTCAGGAAGTCCTAATGAGTTGTCCAATTCCCATATGTCTCCTTCTTTTCTAAAGCTCTTCCCTTCTATCAGTAGTAGTAGTAGTAGTAGTAGTGTGTGTGTGTGTGTGTGTGTGTGTGTACGTGTGTACTCATGGGGGCATGATAGAGAAAGTCCAGATAATCAGGAGTGGGTGCTGAAGAGGAATGAAGATAGAAGTGACCTAGATACTTGCCTGGGCAGAACCGTTCAATCAGAGGAAAGAGTCTCAGGGGCAGAATAACTTTCTGGTGTGAAAAGTCCCAGGATGTAAAGTGAACTTCCAGAGTGAGGAAGCTTTTGTGACATGATAGAGAAAATCTGCAGAATAAGGAGCACAGCCTGGAGAAAAGTTATTTTTCTCCATCTGAATCACTAGGAATTCCATGTTTGGGGACTCTTGTCATGTCCTTGATGTACCCCCTCCAAAAATAGCTAAGTTCTCCATTCTTTGTCAGGTTAACAAATAGCTGCCTTGCTTACTTACTGTTTTTCAGGGAGTAATCAACCACTTCTTTTTTATTCCTCTGACCTTTATTAGATGTGTACTCTGTTGGTGGTACCTCTGGATGCACATCATCATTGCCTGGGGCACTAGAAGTTGCTTCTTGTTCAGAGTCAGGATACATCCTCTATTGGTCTAGACACCTTCTCTATTTGAAAAAATGCTTGTTACGAATTGAATTGAATTGCTTTTTCTGTGTCCTCCTACAGAGTTTCTCTTGCCTGCCATACTTGCTAGAAGTGAAATCCTCATTCTTTTCATTCTTGTTGCTAGTTTTTGTGACCAGTTTTTCACGTCAAATTTTTGCTTGTTTCTTTGTAGTTATTTTTTTTACCCCTTTTCCTGTTAACAGCCCTGGAAGCCTTTGAGCAAGGGTTTGTAGAGAGCTTCTTGCCCTTTTTGTACAATGTAATAGAGAACTAGTTGCTTTTGATGAGCTAGCTCGTCACTGATTTTTTTTCTCCAGACCCCAGTGCATTTAGAAGACATTCATAGCTATTTTTTCCTGCATGGGATTGTTGTAAGGTCCAAATGAGATAATGTGTGAAAACAGTATTGCTAACTTTAAAATGCTACATAAATGTCCATTATTCTTAGCAGTATTATTATCCACAATCTCAAGCAGAACCCAATTAATAGTCACTTCTTGTGGTTCTTGTGATTACTTTTCTCTTTCCTGCTAAGAGACTGTCACCAGCACCTCCTTCTTGTTTACTCTGTCCATATGGCCATCTCTCTTAAAGTATACTAACTTTCTAGTTTATCTTTTGATAATTAATTCTTATATGTTCATTGCTGCCCATCCCTAGTGACTTTCCAGAATATAATCTTTTTTCAGTTCCATTTATTAGAACTGCTTTAGGCATATACTAATAGTGATAGGTAGGGGCAGCTAGGTGGCGCAGTGGATAGAGCACCAGCCCTGTAGTCAGGAGTACCTGAGTTCAAATCCAGCCTCAGACCAAAAATACTTGATACTTACTAGCTGTGTGATCCTGGGCAAGTCACTTAACCCCAACTACTCAAAAAAAAAAAGTTTGGGGAGCAGCTAGGTGGCACAGTAGACAGGGCACCAGCCCTGAAAGTCAGGAGGACCTGAGTTCAAATTTGACTTCAGACCAAACACTTGACACTAGCTGCATGACCCTGGGCAAATCACTTAACCCCAATTGCCTTAAAAAAAATAGTGATAGATAATTCCCAACAATAAAAGGTCCCTACTTTCTGGTCCCACTATGCTTTCTGAACAAAACTCTTGCTTATTTTTAATGAGTTAACATTGACCCTATGCTGCTATAATCAGTGTTTTATCTATCATCAGTTTAATTTCACTGGGGTATCAGGACTAGCCTACTTGATTTTTTTGGCATAGAGCTTTACCGTCTGTGTGTGGAACATTGGAAGAAGGATGAATTATTTTAAAAGGTTATCTCTCTTTTTGCCAAAGGAGGACCCCTTAGAACTAAGCATAATACTTTAATTTCAATTAGTTAAGTTATAATTAATGGTTTTGCAACCTAAATATTGATATATCAGCAATCTCATCAGTGTGAGTATTTCCATTGGTGCAGATTGCACCCCAGCTTCTTTCTTATCTTCTGTAATTCTTGCCTACATTTTCTCTTACCCAGGGCACTGGAGAATCTATTCAGGTTACTAAAGGCTTTTCTCCAGGTCTTTAAATATATAATAAGTTCAAGTGACCAACTCTTTCTACATGATTGGGTCCACCTCCTTTTCACAGCATATTTTCCTTCAGTGATGCTGCTCATACAACTTTATAACAAAGCCAGTGTGCAATTTATATTATAGTCTTCCATCTTCCATGTGTTTCTTCTTTGGCTCTTTTGTTATTTGAAATGTTGATTCTTTGGAATGCTTAGGTGCTGTATGATTTGTAGCCACATATAATCACAAAGAGGAAATTGATGTTTTTAATAAATGGGTTTTTGTGCCGTGGAGCATGTTGGTATGCACTTTGTAATTTTCTGCATGTAATCTGTCTTTACTCTTTAGCATATTCAGTTCTGTATATATCTCATTGTTCATCTACAGTGCCTGGCTGAGACATATATATTGGTGAACTAACTCAGTGGGATAGCCTTTGTTAAGGGGAAGTACTGGAGGGTTTGTTTTTTTTTTTTAAACTTTGCTGCTTTGATGGAACCATGATCTCATTGACAGGGATCTCTCCAATATATATTCTTACAACTATATCTATAGGGAATCTCTCTTCCTTTTGGACTGTGCAAGCCACACTCAGTGACAGATACATTTGGTGAGCATGAATCTCCCTACTTTATGTGTTATTTGGTAGTTATAATTAGAGACTATCCCTATGGTAACATCTATTGGGGAATCTTGTATTATTATCATGTGCATGGGAGCCATTTTTTCCTAGGAAAGTCCTTAACGGGTTTTGTTTTTTTTTTTAATAATCGACTGCTTTTTTTTTATATAATGAACAAATAGGATCTTGTAGTCTTTACAGTTTTCCACAGTTTGCCTACTGTAAGAAATTGCAAAATCCTGCATACTTCCTTTACATTTTCATCAAGAATACCTTCAATATATACAGAAACCATTCTCATAAATATTTTATAGAGATGAGAATGATTTAGTAACAGTTAATGTCCTCTCCAGCTAGCACTTGCTTGCTCTCTGTCACTCTCTCTCTTTTCTAAAAATACTGTCATTTTTCCCATTCTTTTGGAATTCTCCCTTATTGGATATCTTGAAACTCACCCCCTGAGCACCTTCAGAGAATTGTCACCTTACAAGTGAATTTCTTCAGTATATACTTGGTCACATTTTTTTTTAACAGTGAAAAGAATATTTTATGAATTTTCAAAAGCTATTTTAAACTCTTCAGAAAGATTTTAGGTAATTTAGTCATCTTTGTTGTATAACTTTCTCAACATATTTATTCCTTACATTTTGTTTTAGCCACATGTAGTTTGTGGGGATCAGCTCGTTCATAGTCCTTATATGCAGTGTCTGGCTTCCCTTGCTGTTGGACTGCATCTAGATCAGCTTTTATGTAACCCGCCGGTACCACCTCATCATCAGAGCTGTCTTCCTGACCCTTCATCATGGAATCCAACTGAATGGGCATGGTTAGAATGTTTTTCAACCACCATAAAAGCTGCTGAAGCTCTGGCAAAGGGAGCACAGTTTCCAGAGTCCTTCACTGTTCCTGACCTGGAGCCAGTTCCAGAAGATGAACTTGCATTCCTGATGGTAAATTACCCTGAAGCAATTTTTATTTTTACATGGGTTGGGGAGAGGTATTGCAATATTTCCTGGCATCTATGACCAGGTGAGAGACAGCAAGCATGGTGCAGAGTAAGGAATGCTTAGCCTGGAATGCTGAATTCTGAGCCTCTGTACTCAAATTTGAATCTTGTCTTTGCTCCTCAATACCTGTGTGACCTTGGGGAAGTCATTTAAACCCTTCTGGCCCTCAGTTTCCTCGTCTGTAAAATAAGGAGATTGGACTAGGTGAACAATGAAGTCTCTCTAGCTTCTAGACCTATAATCCTATGGTATATTATCATTATTCAACAGCAAGTAACTCCTATTCATAGAAACAGACCTATAATCACAGAAAAATATATAATGCCTTACAATCAGATATTAACTTTGATAGAATGCCAGGCTAATAGTTAAAAGGGATTACTTAAAATCAGTGGAATTTTTAGAAACTCATCAGATCTTTCATTACAACTCAGCCTTTTCTGATATTTTTCCATTTTCTTTTACCTTAGACTACTTTTTTTATTGTCTAATTAATGTATTTAAAAAAAAAACTTTCACCATTCTCCTTTGAACATCTCATTTGATTGAAACAAATTTAATCAATTTTTGTTCATCCTGACCACCCCTCTGCATTCTTAAAGATGATCATGAAGCTTATCCTTAAATATGAGCACAATAGTTTAATGTGTTGGCATTTTCTCTTGGCTGCATTTGAAAGCCATTTGGCTTCAGAAGCCTTATAAAGAACATAAATGCCCGACCAGATAGTGCTGCTTCATGTCAAGGTAGATCAGCCCAGTGATAAACTCTTTATCTTTTTCATCTCTATTTTTTGTAAGCATATTTTGATATTTTAAAAATAACAGTATGAGAGCACATTGAATCAGTAAACCCAGTACTTTTCACAGAGAAGACATACAAATATTGATCAATATGTAGCACTGATAACAATTCTGTTGGGGATCATTCTCTTAAGATTTTATAACACTAATATAATCTTGCCTATTGGAAAGAGGAGTTGAGCTTTCAGCAGATAATAAGTAAATATTGATTACAATATTCACCATAATATGTTCATGCCTTTGCAGGATAATAGTAAATGGATTAATGGTATGGATGAGCAGATTATGTCTTGGGCAACATCAAGACCTGAGGTTAGTGAAAATGACATTTATATATGTTTGAAATACATCCAAATATGGTTGTTTTTCCTGTCATATAGCTTAATTAGTCATATTGTATCCTTTATCTCACATAGATCACCCGGTTTTATTTCCTGCCTAATTTTTTTTTCTACCAGTTATTCTTTTATTTTGGAAGTGGAGTAATTATTATTAAATATTTTCCACAACTAATGACTTTTGCTAATGCCTTTTTAAAAATAAAGATTCATTTCCCAGTTTTACCACCCCCACTTTGATTCCTGCCACGTATAAATAAAAATTTAAGCAAAACCCCACTGACAAAATGACTTCATCTGACAGTTTATGTGTCATTTCACACCTGTCCCCATCTTCTTTATGGAGAGGGGGGAGATATGTTTCCTTTTCATTTCTTTGGGACCAAGATTGGTCTTTGCAGTTAATTTGAGTTTGACTTTATTTTAGTGTTGTTTTCACTTACTTTGTTGTGGTTGTATTTATTGTTCTGTTCATTTTACTGTCTTAGTTCTACATCAGTCCTTACAAGTGTTCCCAAATACCTTATATTTGTTGGGTCTTAGGACTTAATGACATTGATCACATTCATTTACTAACAGTTTATTCAGCCCTTTTCCAAATGGCTCTTAATTTGTTTCCAGCTTTTTACTACCCTGAAGAATGCTGCTGTGAATATTTTGTTATATTTGGGATCTGTTACCTTTGCTGGATATATATCTAGTAGTAGGGTGATTGATTCAAAAGATATGAACAGATAAGTGGGTTTTCCTATAAAATTTCAAACTTTTTCCAGAACATTTGGATCAGTTCACAGCTTCACCAGCAGTATATTTGTGTTTCTGTTTCTCCATAGTCCCTACTGCACTGACAGATGCCCTCTTCAGTAATTTTTGCTAATTTAATGAATTTAAAGTGAAACCTCAGAGTTCCGTAATTTGTATTTCCCCTATTTGCGATTTTAAGATGATTGTCTTTATGATTTTGTAGGACTGGCATCTGGGAGGCAAATGTGATGTCTTTCTGTGGGGTGCTGGAAGGCATGGACAGCTTGCTGAGGCTGGTAGAAACGTGATGATACCGGCTGCTGCTCCTTCATTCTCACAGGCTCAACAGGTAACTAGGTTCAGTGATGGAAGAGAAATTTTTAAAGGGCTGAAAATTCTGATAACCAGCACTGGCAATAACTTTGTAGTAAAGATGTATAGTTCCTAGTCTTATTGTCAGGAATCCCAAGTAAAATGATTATAAAGTATACTTTACAAATAGAAGTGCTATTAAAAAGCTCTTTAGGTTAATTTAAAGAGTTTCTAGTAGATTTGTAAGTATTTTTTTCCCAAGTGAATTGTCATGATAATTCATTATTATTTCTTAGTATGTATTCATATAAATATTATATAAAATATATTACAGAAATAGTACTGTTTCTTAGTATGCATTTATATACACCCCAATTGATGATTTTTTTTTTCATTCATTAACACTTTTTTGACCATCTTAGTTTCTTAGCCTTTAAAAAAAAAATTGGTGCCTAAATTTCCCAAGTCTTTAATTGATCTTTCATGGACAAAATAATCTTAGTAGTGTACAGGTCTGATCATATCCTCTTCTGATCAAAAACTTCAGTCATTCCTATTACTCATAGGATAAAATGTACTCAGCCTAACACTTCATAGTCGCCTCTATCTCCATCCTACCTTGTCAGCCTTATTTCACACTATCCCTATTTATGTACTTTACCTTCTAACTTGTACTGACGATTTCTTTCTTTCCTCCTGAAAATGTTTTGGTTTAGGTTGTCTCCCTCTTCTGAAATAGCTAACTTCTTATTTCTCCATCTTGAAATCCTCTTTATTCACCATTCAGATGCGACCATCATCCAGTATTCATTGGTTTCTCTCTCCATTTTCTCATAACATTCCTTTATACTTACACCATTCTGCCTTGTATCACAATTATTTGTTTCTGGTATGTGTCTCCCTGGTAGGGTTGTAACTTTCTTAAGGGCATTAATTGTGATGTTTTTCCTCTTTATATCCTTATACCCCAGATAGTATAGTGCTTTTGAAACAGTAGATGCTTAATAATATTTATTGAATTGAATTGAGTTGGGATTGCTGATCTAGCTTTCTTTTTTCTGTACTTCAGATGATTTGTAGGGCCTATTTTAATTATATGCTCCTTGGTACTAATCTGTGAACCAAACCTTCTCCTTCTTAGCAAAATTACCCAGGATCTCAAATAACTTTGAAACAGTTACGCTAGTTTCACAGCCATCTTGATAAACTAGCAGGATTGTAATGGTCAAGGAGAAATGACTGCTTTAATTTTAAGACTGAGGATTAGGTAGCTTTATATCAAGCATGAGAGAGTACTGGTCAGTATGTTGTAATTTTAAAGCTTATGTAGTGACAAATGTATAGTGTGACTTATAAGTATGTATATATGTGTGTATAATAAATTTGTGTGTATGTGTGTTTTTAATTCCAGGTTATTTGTGGACAGAATTGCACCTTTGTTATCCAGGCCAATGGCACAGTATTGGCTTGTGGGGAAGGAAGTTACGGCAGATTGGGACAAGGAAATTCAGATGACCTTCATGTATTGACAGTTATTTCAGCATTACAAGGTTACAGTTTTTTCAATTGAAAATGTAGATTTCATTAAAACTTACCAGAAGCTAATCCATAGATAGAATTAAATCCAAAAGGATCTGTGTATGCATTTATATGTGTGTATTTACATATATAGGTAGAATATTTTCACATAAATTATGAATAACTAGATGCTGAATTCTTGCATGTGGTAGATGTATGGATACAACTTTAATTGCTACATTTTAGCAGTATTGTTTCTGAAGTTACTTATCATTAAGTAACGTTAGCATCTGTGAAAGTTATAAATATCATTGTGAGCCATTGGACAATGTAATCAAATGCTTGGAAGATGCATAAATTATAATTATTTTAATAACATTGCTATAATTTTGCACATATTTTATTTAAAAATAAAATAGTTTGCATATGATAATATAAAGACATGATAAAGGATTTCAGAGGACTTCTATTTCAAAGGTAGCTTTTACTGGAAGAAAAAATGTCAAGAAATAATTCCCTGAAAAATGACTAGCTTTTATTTTTAATTTTAGTAATGCAGAAATGAGCATTTTATGAACATAAAAGTATCTGAATCACAACTAAAAAATATACAATACATTCCTATAAAATTGGAAGTTGTGTATCTTAAGCTCTATTTGTGATGGTACTTTTCAACAACTAACTACAGTTTTGCTAGATAAATAAGGAAATTTTATTTTTAAAATAAATAAGCCATTATGGAAGTTTTTATTTAGAGAATTTATGCTTAGAATTTGTCATGACAGGTATGTTGTGGCTATACAGAGTTTAGAAATGATAAAAATAAATAGAATAATTTTTATATAGCATTGCTGATTTGTTTTTTCATTCTTTTGTAGGCTTTGTGGTAACACAACTAGTAACTTCTTGTGGCTCTGATGGGCATTCCATGGCCTTAACTGAAAGTGGCGAGGTCTTCAGCTGGGGAGATGGAGACTATGGCAAGCTTGGCCATGGGAATAGTGACCGGCAACGCCGACCTAGGCAAATAGAGGCTTTGCAAGGAGAGGAAGTGATTCAGGTTCTTAAGAGAATTTTCATTCAGTCTTTAAATGTAGACAGGTTACTTGCTACACAGAAAATAATGGGAAACGTTATAAAAAGTCAAAAGTAAATGAATTATAGAAAGAACTGATAATTGTCTAAACATAGATTGAAGCATGCTATTTTTCACTTTCATTTTTTTATTCGAGTTTTCTTGTACAAAATGACTAATATGGAAATGTTTTACATAATTACACATATTATCTCTATGTGATTGCTGACTGTCTCAGGGAGTGGAGAGGGGAAGAAAGGACAGAAGGATAGAATTTGGAACTGAAAACTTTAAAAAAAAACACATATTGTTTTAACCTGTAATTGGGGGCGTATGTATGTATATATTTGTATATATGTTATATAACAAGATTTTTAAAAAGTAAATGAATTTAGAATGATAGTGCGTTCTTTAATAAGTTGAGCATGTGTCTCAGGAGTTAAACATCTTGTTATGTAATCACTGTAACAAATCTATTGAACTAGTTGTTTCAACTCAGTGCTCAAACTGTAAATTCCAAGGTTTTATAGGCAGTGGAGACAAATTTAGCTTCTTTCTCATATAAATGGTTTTCCTTTGATCTGGGATTGAGATTAGTGTGGGGAGATGTTGCATTGTTTTTGATAATGAGTATTTGGTCTAGAAATATAGTAACTTCTAATTTCAGGCTGTTCTTCTTTGCAGAGCCCAAATTAATTTATAAAACAAAAGACTTCTTGAAAGGCAAGTGATTGTCCAGTACACACATAGCTTAAAAGCATCTCCCACCTAGTTTGGTCTTCAGCTTGACCTTCATGTGGAAGAAGCTTAAATGTAGAATGAACTAGTATTCCAGTCCCTAAATTGAATACACTACTATTACTTAGTTTCCATGATTGTGGAAAAGGTGTTAGATTAGGAGTCAGAGGACCTCAAACTGGTTTAGAATTCCAGTGCTGCAGTTTGCAGTATCACCTTGAACTTTTATCTCTCTGAAACATAGTTTCTTAACCTATAGATGAGGATGGTAATTTTACACTACCATCCTCATGGAGTTGTAAGGAAAAGCACTTGCTAAACTGTAGGCATCTGTGTAAATGTGACTTAGTAGTAATAAAAATATTTTTTGAATGAATTAAACTTTTAAAATTGTTTTAAAATGTGTATATTAATTAAGCATGCTAATTATACTAATTATGTTTTTTAAAAATATATATATTTTATTTTTACTTCAGATGTCATGTGGCTTCAAACACTCAGCAGTGGTGACATCAGATGGCAAGCTTTTTACATTTGGGAATGGTGATTATGGTCGTTTGGGCCTTGGAAACACTTCTAACAAAAAGCTTCCTGAGAGAGTGACAGCATTAGAGGGATACCAAATTGGACAAGTATGGAATGAATCTGTAAAATAGTGTATCTGATAGTGATTTCTTGTCTCTTCAGTGTTGTTCATTTATGCTGTCCATACTTAAGATTATACTAGTTGTATTGTAGGTTCACCTCTTTATCACTTTTTTATATTTTTGGAGTTTTTAAAAATTTATTGGTACGTTGAATTTTTTTTTCTAATGTGAAAATTCAAATATTAACACATGCCTTTATCATAAAATGGCAAGATATGAAATAATAACTACAGGATGGCCCTCTTCTTTTTTTTTTTTTTTTTTGGGTGAGGTAATTGGGGTTGAGTGACTTTACCAAGGTCACACAGCTAGTTCGTGTCAAGTGTTTGGTCTGAGGCCGGATTTGAACTCCGGTCCTCCTGACTTCAGGGCCGTTGCTCTATCCACTGTGCTACCTAGCTGCCCCACCCTCTTCTTTTCTAACCTGCAATAGTAGCTCATCCTGAGTGTACCTATGTTCCATAGTCTACATTCCATATGGTGCTGAACAGAAAGAAGAAAAACTTTTGATTATCATTTGGAATCCTTATTTCAGTTGTCCCTGTTGTACGATGGTAATTATTTTTGCTTTTAAATAATTATTATACGTGTGTGTGTGGTAAGAATGTAGAAGTTGCTATTAGAGGACTAAGGATCTCTCCCAGACATGTAGAGACTATAAGTACCTTCTAGATCCAAAGAAGGTAAGAGAGAGAGAAATATTAATGTACTTGTAAATAGTTATATAAGATTGACTACTAGTGACTGAGTATTTTAAGGCATGGTGTGCATACAAACCTTTTCTTAATGATTAACTTCTTTGATTCCTAGCTAAGGCTGAGTATCATTGTTATCAGGGATGTAACTTTTAGGTAGCACCAGGTTTGGTATGGTTTTTAATTCTGTGCTAACATTAGAAACTGAGATGTGTGATGCATTATGGCTAATAATTTATAAATAGCTTTTGTATAGCTATTCCAGAAGAGAATGAAGAAAATTATTTTATAATTGGTGGGAAAATAAAGGGTTTCAAATATGTGGCAGTTTGTTTTGTGGTGTTTTGGTTAAGCCTACTGAATGCTTTTCCGATAGGTGGCTTGTGGATTAAATCATACCCTAGCTGTGTCTGCAGATGGTTCAATGGTGTGGGCTTTTGGAGATGGAGATTATGGAAAACTTGGCTTGGGAAACTCTACTGCAAAGTCTTCACCACAGGTTAATTCTCTTGATCAGCTTGTTTTTCATAATCTTTAAAACATTTTAACCATGTGCCATTTTATTTTTAATTAATATTATTTTATGAAGGAAAGCATGTTAATGGCTAGAGAGCTGGCCTTGGAGTCAGGAAGAGCTGAGTTCAGTTCCTGTCTCTGAAAGACACTGGCTCTTGACACAAAACTAGTTAAGTGTCAAGTGTTTGGTTTGAGGCTGCATTTGAACTCAGGTCCTCCTGACTTCCAGGCCGGTGCTCTATCTACCGCACCACCTCGCTGACCCATCACTTGAACTCTCAAGTGACACAGGCAAGTCTCTAAGGCTGCAAAGTTGTGGAGAAGGTGCTGATTTGCATTCATAGAGGGAGTTTCCAACAACAATGGAATTATAAGTACACTTTCAAAAGCGCTTCTCTTTTGTTACTTTGTAGTGAAATTGGTAGCAGCTTAGTGAGTCATGTTCTCCCAGAGGGTTGGACTTGGGTGTCAGCAGGAACTGGATTCAAATCCTGTGCCCCAGGGCACGCCAGCTAACCTCTGCCTAAAGGACTGAGCTGCCCATTCAGAGGCAGATTATGGTCTTTGTTGGTGGAGGCAGTGGCCCACCGTGGTGGGATCATTCACATATTTACATAGAATGAAATTTACAACACACTATGTCTTGCTTATGAAACTGTTATTGACTAAACTGAGAAATAATTCGTACCTACTTACTATAGGCTTTAGGCTTTCCATAGAAAGAAATGCATACTTGTAGAATGCATTTCTGCAATCTGCAAAGTATAGAACTGAAGTGATAATAGTGAAATTATCTAAAAGAAACTCTTCAGTGACCTTCTGTCACAAAAAGCGCTTTTGCCAGGCACCATAGGTAGTTTATACTTAAGCAAGTTTCATTTCAATATGGCATGGCCATGTGCTACCTGAGTGCAGTTGTGCTTCCATTTTTAAAAGAGATAAAAGAAAAACAAAATAACAAGTATTTGAGCTTAACTTCTTAATTTATTGTTTTCTTCTAGTCATATTGTTAAAGGAACCTTTACTTAGTAGCATTACAGAATGATTCACAATATAAATGCAGGGTTCTGTCAAATAATGAGTTGACATTTCACATTTAAAATTTAATTTGATTTATAAAATTTTGATTCACACCTTTCAGGAGCACTTTATTACATTAATTCTATAATATACTGATGTTTAGATGAGTTCTTAGCTGGGCAGGGGAGGGCTGAAGTAAGCCCACCAAGCTTTTAAAGATGATCCAAAGTTACTATTTTCAACTCTGGAAACTGGGAAGTAATATCTCAAAGTAATAGTCATAGTTTTATAACGTTTGGTTTCTAGCTTCAAAGGAAGAAGAGAGCTCATGCTCTCAATGATTTGATGGAAAGAAAAATGTATTTGGAGTCAAAGGACTTGAGTTCAAATCCTAGTATTATAGCTTGTTATCTAGGTGACCCTAGTTTCCCCATTTGTCAAATGAGAGAGATTGGACTCGATGATTTCTAAGGTTTCTTCCAGCTCTAAATCTCCAGTTCTGTGAGATACCAGAACAGATTACACGCATGTCAACCTGTGGCGTAGTTCCCTTTTGTCTATTTCTGGACATAACCCCAGCACATAGGAAGACCGACAAGTAGCATTCCAGATCAGGCAGGATTGGAGACTGACTCTGAGTGGACCACTACCTTCCCCCTTCCACAGCAGGTGCATGCTCTTCAGATGAATTTTAGGGACTTAATAACCGAAGATGACAAAGTGCCTTACACTTAGATGCCAATCAGAAATAAGCACTGTAACATTCCATACCTGAGTTGGTAGAGTTTCTTTGGTGCTCATATTGTATTTTATCACTGTATATATTCACTAGTCACTTTGTTTCTGTCAACATATTCACCCCTCACCCTGGGGAATGGACCATGTCTCAGCAGAAATGACTCAGTTTTAGATAACTATTTGAAATGTTTTTTAAGGCTTAGGGTTATGGTTCCTTGCTACTAGCTATGTCCTATGAGATAAGCCCACTTTTCTTCTTTGAATTTTGCCCATCCTTTGCTGTATCTTGAGAGGTATATTTATAAATTTCCCATTCAGATAAATTTTAGGGGGGTAATGAGCAAGAGAAGGGGAACTAGGGAAAGAAGTGGGTAAGGAAGAAGATATTTAAATTTTGGTGGAATTAGGTGAATAGCTTTAAGTATCAACTCCCCACTCCAAAGCAGTAATAATTTTACCATAAAATGAGATTTTATTTTAATCATAGATACGTGTTAAACTTAGGAAATAGCAGAGTTTTTTTTTTTCCCCTTCCAAAATGTGTGTGTATAATTACACTTTTACTTTTTCAGAAAGTAGATGTTCTTTGTGGAATTGGAATCAAAAAAGTTGCTTGTGGCACACAGTTTTCTGTTGCATTGACAAAGGATGGTCATGTGTATACTTTTGGACAGGGTAAGGAATCTTTTTTTAAAATCAACTTGAACAAGTTAATGTGGGTGTAGGAGTCTAATGGGGTGGGAGATGAGGAAGAAGCATTTGAACATTAATGAACATTAATTTGTAATTCTTTTTGTGTCTTCTTTAATGTATATATGTATGTTTTTGTGGAGTTGTAATCAGTGGGTCCATACAATTTTGTCTTTTTATATGTAGCATTTATTTTATATATGGATGCAGGCCACATATTTTAATAGTTTATATTGTATTTCATATATTTCAGTAACTTCTGTTGTATGTGCGTAGTTATTCATTTATTCATTCGTTTATTTAATTTTCATTGTTCATTCATGTTTATGTTTTTGTGTTTCCCTTCACTCCTGTGTTTGAACTTTAAAAAGTTTTTTTGCAGATTTGATCTTTTAATTAGGAATGCATGGACGTCTTCTATTTAATTAAAGGTTCATTTTATCACCCTATAAAATTATACTGGGTTTTCCTGAATAAGTTTTTCTTGGCTGTAAACCCATATTCTTTACCTTCTGGAATATCATATTCCAAGTTCTCTGTTTCTTTATAGTTGTTGCTGCTGAATCATGTGTGATTTTCACTGTGATTCCTGGGTACTTCAGTTCTTTCTAGCTATTTGCTGTATTTTTTCTTTGACCTAGAAGCTCTGGATTTTGATGGTATTTCTGGGAGTTTTTATTTTGAGGTTTCTTTCAGGATATAACCAGTGTATTATTTCTGTTTCTATGTTGCCCTCTGGTTATGAGAGACATAGATAGATATCTTATATGATGTTTAGGCTCTTATTGGTTGAGGTGGTCAGACAGTCCAATGATTCTTACATTTTTCTTCTGTTTTCCAGGTCAGTTGTTTTTGCTATTGAGATCCCTTATTGTATTTTCTTCTATTTTTTCAGCCTTTTGACTTTATTGTAATATTTAATTATCTCGTGAAATTGTTGGCTTCTCTTTAATCCATTCTGATTTGTAGGGAGTTTGTTGCTTGAGCAAGGTTTTGTGTCTCTTATGCCAAGTTGTTAATCCCTTTTTCAGTTCTTTCTTCCATAGCTTTTATTTTTTTTCCATTTTCTTCCTCAAGTGATCTCATTGCATTTATAAAACCTTCTTAAATTCTTGCTTCATTTCTTCTAGGAATTCTAGTTGAATTTGTGCCCAAGATGTGTTTTTCTTTGAGGCACTGCTTATAAATATTTTAGTTATTCTCTTCTGGGTATTTTGATTTTTTTTAGGGTCCCTACCATCGTTATAGCTTATGTTGGTGGGATTCTTTTTTTTGTTTATCCATTCTTCCAGCCTACTTCCTAACTTTGGCCTTGATGTTAGCACTGGGCTCTGCCGCACTTCTGAAGGGACATTCTGGACTGGTCCTATTGCTTCTTCCTTAGCATATTGAGTATTGTGTTACTCCAGGATCTCAGGGACAGGCTGGAGAGCTGCAGGCTTTCAGTGTTTCTAGACTTGTCTGATCCAAGACAGAGTTTGATTGCTGCCAGTTCCTGACCTGGGTTTGGATCTGAGCAAGAGTAGACTGTTGCTGGACTCAGCCCCTATCAGCTAGCTGAAAAGCTCTGTTGATTTAGAGTGGCAGAATTGTAGGTTCCCCTTTGATTTGGTTTGGGATTCCTGCCTTGATTATTTCTCTACAAGCCTGGCAAGATGCTGGAAGTGAAACCCTCCTCTGTTCATGGGGTCTGAGCCAAACCACTGCAGTTGCTGCTGCTGGCTTCTGAATTTCCTCCTTTCTACACACAAAAACCCAAGACCTCCCTCCCCTAGGATGCTGCTCTCCTCTGTAGGTCCCCTTCACGCCACAGCAGATCTGTGACCTAGAACTGTATAGTAGTCAGCAAAACTGCCAGTTGGCACCTGTCCCCTCCCAGAGCCTCAGTACAGGTCTGGCACCTCCTCCTACCCTGTGCTCAGCCTCTCCTCGAGCACAGCAGGCTCTGACAGCAGCATGCTCCTGCTCTGGACACGTTTCTAGTGTCAGCAGACCTCCTGAGCTGTCTCCAGAGGATGTGCTGTTAGGTGTTTGGGATTTCTTCCATCAGAATTTGGGCTGGTACATTTTCTAGGTCTCTTTTTATATCCCCACCACTTAGGGCAATGCCTGGCATATAATAGGTGCTTAATAAATATTTATTTACTGACTAATAATAAAATTGTAGACTTGGAACATAGAGACCTGGGTTCAAGTCCTGACTGTAATCTGTACTAGCTGTGTGACCTTGGGTAAATGATTGAACCTCTAATTGTCCTCTACTTTCAAAGGATCTAAATTACACAGAAGATGCCAGTCTGTATTGGTTAAGGGATTTTCCTATACCAATGAAATTACAGGGTTAAAAAAAAAGATTGTAGAAGAAGGACCATATAGTATAATTTACCTTACATTCACACTTTGTTTAGATTAACTGAAAGTTCTATATTATATAAAATTATAATCAGAAAAATGGAGGTGAAAGTGGAATAATATCTCAGTTTATCTAGTGAATCTACTATAAGTTACAGGATTTGGATCAAGGCTAAGACTTTTTATAAGCCAACTAGCATTTTTAAAAAGGCAGACTATTTCACAAGAATTATGATCTCCATTCCCTTCCATTCTCTCCACAAACAGTTATTCAGTACTTTCTATGTATAATTCATTGTGCTTAGGCTCTGGGGAAAATCAAAGATAAATAAGGTACAACCCTTGCCTTCAAAGGCATCTTAGTTTAGGTGTTGGGGATAAGATATGTGCCCAGGTACTACTGAAACAACTTAAAATCTATGTGTAAAAGAAATATGTAATATCATTAAGACAAGATGATCTCAATTTAGTTCAGGCACTTGGGTAAGACTTCAGGGAAAATTTGTCACTTAGACTTTTCTTTGAATGACAAGTTGGGATTTCATCAGTCAGAGATTGGCCAGGGGCAAGAAGCGTAGGCAGTAGTTTACAGAAATGTAGAAGAGCATAGGCTATGATTGGGGGACATAAGTAATCTAGTTTGGCTGAAATGTAGAGACTGCTAGTAGCATGATATAAAGGATGTGGTGTTCATATTCCATTTGCTTAAGTTGTCCTCTCTTCCCCTAATTTTTCTTATTCTTGTGTGTGTGTGTGTGTGTGTGTGTGTGTGTGTGTGTATGAAAATGAATTTTTAAAAAACTCAAGGGATGTGCTGTGTCAATAAAATGTTTGCTTTTTGCGGTGTTACAGACCGTTTAATAGGCTTGCCAGAAGGTCGTGCTCGAAATCACAACCGACCACAACAGATCCCAGTCCTGGCTGGAGTTGTTATTGAGGATGTAGCAGTAGGAGCTGAACATACACTTGCTTTAGCATCAACTGGAGATGTGTATGCCTGGGGCAGTAATTCAGAAGGACAGGTACATTTATCTTTTTTGTGTGTTTCTTTGATTCCTAGCAAAATTGTAGAACATTTATTAAAGGGATAGTTAGTGGACATCTATTGAATCTACTAATTCTCAGGATATTCTTGCCTCCTTTTCTCCTCTTTAAAATATTTTATTTAGTTTTTCTCAGTCAATAAGCATTTATTTTCTCTCCCTGCTTCTCCAAAAAAATTGAAGGGAAAAAAAAAAGAAAAACACAACCTTTGTAACATGTATAGTCAACAAGTATAGTAAAAACAAAATCTGGTATTGTCCATGTACAATGTATTCTCTTCCTTTCTCTAATAGTTCAGCATCTGAATCAGATTTTCTTTTCTCCCCATTCCCTGTAGTGATCTTGAAGACTTCAGCATTCACGCTGGTGTTCTTTTAAACACGGTGGTACTACATCTGTAGTACTCTGTGTTTTGTGCACCACAATTTTAGGAAAGACCTTGATAAACTGAGCCCTGTACAGAAGAGGGCAACCTGCATAATAAAGGCCTCAGAATTATATCAGAAGAGGATTGGTTGAACTAGGGTTGTTTAATCTGAAGACTAGGGGGAGGACAAGATAGCCATAAAATGAAAGATGGATTGGACTTCTCCTGCTTGGTTGTAGAAGGAAAACAAAGGAACAAGTAATAGAAGTTAAGAGAAGTAGATTTTTGACTTGATGTCTAGTCCATCCTCCACTTAGCTGTGAAATTGATATTCTTAAAGTCCAGGGCTGTTCAAGTCTCACTCCTCTTCAGTAAGCATCAGTGAGAAGTCAACTAGGAGTAATAGTTTGAAAATTTCCAAGAAGATAATTTAGGCATGATATGAAGAGAAACTTCCTAACAATGTGCCTCTGGATGGTAGTGGATTCTCCTCCCTGAAGGTCTTTAAGCAAAGGCTGGATAACCAATCGTTGGATAAGTCTTACAGGGAATTATTCAGATGTGGGTTGACACATTTGTTTGCTGTTCAATTAAAAGTTAGACTAGATGACTTCTGAAGTCTCTTTTAAATCTGCAGTCCTGTGACACTAATTATTCTTCATTGTAAGCATTATCTGACATAAGCTTTAGCCATAACATAAAAATACACAATATAGGAGGAACATTTACATTTCTTTTATCCCTTTACTATAAAGTGTGAGGTATAATGAATATAATGAACATTATATTAAGGTATTGGTGAAAGGAGGGGAAAAGTTATTTTTAAAAATCTTGTTAGCTGAAATATAACCAGCAAACACTGCTTTGGTTTTTCTTAAAAGACAATAGTAAATCATTTTTTCCTTCTTCAGGGACTTGGGTTAGGGTTAAATGGACTATAAGTTAAACATTTATATGATGGAGAGATGTTCAGGGACAGGGCTATTTGTTCCTTAGACAATGCAGGATCTGAGGCATATTACATTAGATTATACCACTTTTATTCTCCTGTCTGCTTCCTTAGATATTTTAATACAGGTAAGATCTCTTTGAAATAGCCTTGAAAGGGAAAAGAAGTCACATGAGCTACAACAACCTGAGGTTGCCTCGATGGTGAAGGAATTTTGATTCCCTGAGTCACTGACCGGGCTTCTATATTAGTTCTCGTCACTGAATTACACCCCCATTCCTCCATCCAGCCACAGTGTAGGTTCTGGGTTTAGAGAGGCACAGTGGCTAGAGGAGTACTGGCTATGTGACCATGGGCAAGCCCCTTAAACTCTTAGTGCTTCAGGCAACTTTTGAAGGCAGTACAATGCAGTAATGCCAAATTGAATCCTGACTTTGTCACTTACTACCTTTATGCTTTGGGAAAGTCTAAGAGACTCTCTGAGTCTCAGCTTCCTTATCTGTAAAATGAAGGGGTTGGACTAGATGATTTCTGAGGTCCCTTCCAGCTTTAAATATTTGGTCCTCTATGCCTTTGTCCTGATTAGAGTCAGTGTGGTAGAACACACAGGCAGCTAGGTGGCACAGTAGGTAAAGTTCCAGGAAGACTCATCCTCTCGAGTTCAAATCTGGCCTCAGATTAGTAGCTGTGTGACCTTCAGCAAGTCACTTAATCCTCTTTGCCTCAGTTTCCTCACCTGTAAAATGAGCTGGAGAAGGAAATGACAAACCACTTCATTATCTTTGCCAAGAAAACTCCCAATGGGGGCATCGAGTCGGACGTGACTGAAAACAGCTGAACAACAATAACATACCTGTGTCCTGATTAGAGTCAGTGTGATGTGGGATCACTGGATCTAGATTTAGAGGACCTAGGTTCATGTCCTGCCTCTGAGACTACAAGTAGTAGCTTGTGTCACCTTGGCCAAGTCTCCTTCCCTCCCTAGTCCTTAATTTCTTTACGTGTAAAATGAGGAGTTAAATTCAATGTCCCCTGAGGTCCCTTTCAGTTCTAGATCTGTGATTCTATGGTCCTGTGATACGTATGATGGTTTATCATACTCTTTGATACGGAAGATTCTTATATTCAGATTAAGAATGGCCAGAAGAATGCCTTGTTGGCCATTAATTTTAATATATTTGTCCAAAAATTACAACACAGTTGTCATTTCTTTAAGTGTGGATGATCATATTTCTGTTATCTGCCTCACAAGGTTGTTTTGAAAAGTCTTTCCCAGCCCTTAAAATGCTATATAAATAAAGTTGTTACCATTATTCTGTTCCCTGGACTTTTTACCCATCAATAGAGGTTTGCTATCGCTTTTTAGTGGGAAAAAGAAGTAGACAGTGAGAGCCACCTATAGGAACTTGTTATGTTTCTCCTTTCTAATATGGAGCTATTCAAGGCATGAAACATTAACTTTCAAGATAAAGTTAACAGTGCATGAATTTGCTCCTTCAAGTATGTTCTCTGTGTAAAAATTAGAGATAATTTGATTTCACAGGTAACTTTGCTGTCTTTCAAAGTACTCATTTCCTCTTTAGAATTAGAGGCCATGGCTGTTTGATCATTAAGTATCTCATCTGCAGGATTTGGCGTGATGATAAGGATAAGTTAAATGAGCTTTTTCCAGGTGAATTTTCAGGAGACTGGCAGTCTAGGCTCGTAGAAGTGATCATCATGAAAGAAACATAATTACGTTTGTTGTTGTTCTGATGGCAGTGATTAGAGCAAATGCTAGTAACTTTTCTCATTTTAATCATATTTCATAATCTTTGTTTCCTCTCTAATTCATTCTGCTTTTATCAATTATAAGCTTGGACTGGGCCACACTAACCATGTTCGAGAACCAACTTTAATAACAATTCTGCAAGGGAAGAACATTCGACAGATTTCAGCTGGTCGTTGTCATAGTGCTGCATGGACTGCTTCACCTGTTCCACCAAGAGCACCAGGTGAATACAATATATTTTTTTTAATTATTGACAGATTGGTTTGCTTTTCAGTTTTGAATTGCATCAAGTAATCATTCTGATTTGAATTACATCACGTAATCATTCCAATTTAATAAAATCTTACCCAAGCCATTAAGCATTCTTCATGCAGCTAGCACTGCAAATCTTCTCACAGTATGAGTCTTTCAAGATAATGTATCTATAAAGCACTTGCACAGTGAAAAAAATGACATTTTTAAGAATCAAAGATCAAATTTTTACCAGCATATATAACAGCATTTTTTGTTTTAATGAAGCAAAGAATGGAGCTTTCTATTGACCATTTCTTTTCTCTATCAAGGGATGCAGAGAATAAAAGTTAATGAAGCCATGTGTTAAGCTGTATTAGCCTATTTTTGCGTATGGAGACATGCTCTGGTTTGATATACTAGCAAGCAACTCAAATTAGTATCAATATGTCCTACTGTAGAATGATCAGAAATGAGGGTCCTTAATATCTCCTTTAAATTCCACTGACTGCCTTCCTCAGGTGATTGAGGCATCAAATTATTTAATTATCTCAGGAATCCCTGGCTAAGATGTGATGGTATCCTGTCACATTGCTAGGCCCTTTCATATTGCTAGACTCTCCTTTCTGGCCATATGTTCTGGGGACCTATGGGAGTGTCTTGACCTTGTATATACGTTGCAAAGATGGAATTTATTGGCTGATAGTCCTCAAATGAAATTTTTTGCATAATAGAGCCTATGATGGCTAGTAAACCCCAAAAGATTTTTTTTTCTGTTAATGGATGGCATCATCAATTTTCTCAGAAACATATTTACAATATAATGTAATTTGGAATTATACTTTATAAATTGTCATTTTCACCTTTCTTTCCCAGAGAACCATTACTTCTAACAATGAACAAAAAAAAGAAAAACTAAAAAGTTCAGTAAAACTAACCAACACATAGAAAAAAATCTGACATATACAGTGTTTCACACCGAGTAGTTTTCTACTTATGCAAAGGGGCGGGGGAGGTTAGCACTTGTGTTCTAGATCTTTCCTTTTCTCATGCTGTTAAAACTGTAGAATTATCATTTGTTTTTAATGAATCATGTTCTCTAAGGGGAAGAGCCAGTCATAGTGAAATTTTGTGCTCCTTTCACAGTATGGCACTCCTAGTTCCTGCGGAATCCATAGTAGGCATTAAGTTAGTCACATGAGCATTCTGTTTTCAAGAGCTTTGTCTACTTTTTGTTATTTTTGTAGATGTCAAGTAGTCAGGAACAAAATGAACCATGTAATTTTATTTTCATGGAAAGGCTATTAAAGTTGGATAATGTGATGTTGAACTTTTCTGAGCTGTTCTTAATTGAAATACAATAGCAGAAGAAGCAAAGACATGTTGCTATGATAACATAAATTCTAAAAGATTATTAACCTCTAGAATGTATTTGGGTTTTGTGGCAGGTGTCTCAGTGCCTTTACAGCTGGGTTTGCCTGATGCCATCCCACCCCAGTATGGCACTCTGAAGGAAGTGAGCATTCATACTGTAAGAGCCAGGCTGAGACTGCTCTATCACTTTTCAGATCTCATGTATTCTTCTTGGAGGTTATTGAATCTAAGCCCCAATAACCAGGTAAAACATTATTGGAGGGGAGGGGGATGAATGTAATAAGTAATTTTGCTTTAAGTATTTTTTAAAAGCATAATATACATTTCATAGATAATGTTGTTGGTTTTTTTCCTCAACATTTAAGTGAAATGGAAAATATTAGTGGTAAGGATGTTACCTAAGAGACCAGTCCTAAGATCATTGGTAGGGCTAGGATAAGAACGGTGGTCTCCTGACTCTCAGCTAGGTGTCTTTTCTATTAGACCAGTCTGCCTTTCTACCCTTATGCATATTTTGACATGTCAGAAGTTGAAGCTATTCCAAATGACTAAGTATTTGAAAATAGTGAGTCTCTTTAATTTATGTAAAGCCTCATGTATAGTTTTAGGACTTTTTAACATTCAGTGTTTGGCCAATTAACAAGAGGATAGATTCTGTAGTATATATAAATATTGGATTTATGCAACCACATACCTTTACAAATAACCATGGCCTTCCTGAAGTAAAGTAAATTTTACCCATATTACAGTCTTTTTATGATAACTTGTAACTTTCAGGGAAGGAGCAGTGTGGTTTAAGTTTTTGGCATATTTTTGGTAGAAAGGCCTGCTAAAATCTATTCCTAAGATAATTTTACATTGATTCCAATAATAAATAAGTTCCTTCAGGGCAGGAACTGTTTTTCAGTTTTGTTTGTGTGTCCAACACTTAGCGCAGTGTCTTGAACATAATGCTTGCTGAATTAAATTGAATTATCTGTTCATTATCCTTAAATGATTTTTTTTCTCTGACATCTAGCAGATCGGGGGCTGGGGGAGGGAGGATAAAAAAATTTTAAATGTTTCCAACATATTCATTAGATGAGATTTTCATTCTAATAATGAAAATTATTTCTAAGCCTTGGTATATTATACTTTATGAATGAATGAAAAAGCATTTATTAAGTGTTTACTATGTGCCAGACTGTCTGCTGAGCACTGGGAATGCAAATACAGAAAGCAGTGACAGCCCCAGCCCTCTGGAAGCTTTCATTATAATGGAGAACACATCCTAAGGGGTGTAGTAGCCGAGGAAAGGCACTTTGGGCCAAAAGGACGGTGCGTGATGCCTTTGGGGAGTAGATGATATTCCCATAGTTCATGAATGCAGGGAAGAAGGCTGCTAGTGAGGTCGTGGAGAAGACAATTGGAAAAGTAAGATTTCTTATACCATTGCCCTTTGTTACAGAATAGCACATCTCATTATAATGCTGGAACATGGGGAATTGTACAAGGACAGCTTAGACCTCTGTTAGCACCAAGAGTCTACACACTCCCTATGGTACGGTCCATAGGGAAAACTATGGTGCAGGGCAAGAACTATGGTCCTCAAATAACTGTAAAAAGAATATCAACAAGGTTAGTATGTGCATAGTGTATATTTTTAAATTATTGTCTGGAATTCTTCTGATGAACGTTTACAGTCAATAACATCCCAAATCACGCCAAATCTAATTTATTTAAATCCTTACCTGCCTTGTTTATTCCCTGCTGGTCTTTTGATAGTTACCAGTAGGCATTGTGAGCTTTGGAGCATATAAAGTAATGTGTAATGTAGTGACTGCTTGTGGGGGGGTTGTTTGTTTTATTTAATTTTTTTTTTGCTAGGCAGCAGGGTTAAGTGACTTGTCCAGGGCCACACAGCTAGTAAACATCAAGTGTCTGAGACTGGATTTGAACTCAGGTCCTCCTGACTTCAGGATCAGTGCTCTATTGTGCCACCTAGTTGCCCCGGGTTATTTATTTTTTTTATTCTGTTTTAATACCAAAGGATACTGGAGCTAAAGGTTGATGGCTTTATCCAACATGATACATGCAATCTATGGGTAGATGCCTTCTGTCACTAAGACTATTATGGTAATGTGTGAAAATTTTTGACAGTTGATTTTTATTGCCTCTCTGCTTTTCTTTTAGAGGTCGAAAATGTAAGCCTATTTTTGTACAGATAGCAAGACAAGTGGTTAAGCTAAATGCTTCAGACCTTCGTCTGCCCTCTCGAGCCTGGAAAGTTAAGCTGGTTGGAGAAGGAGCTGATGATGCTGGAGGAGTATTTGATGATACAATTACAGAGATGTGCCAGGTATTTCTGATATCTGGTGTGCTGGAAATAATCACTGATATAGGGGCAGTTTTGTTTTTTGTTGATAATGCCATTAGGAACCAAGTTACATATATGTTTGCACATTTAATTTTTATAAACTAGCAGGGTATATTTATGAATTAGTGCCCTGAACTTAGTGGGCTCTTAATAAATGTTTGAGTTGGACTTCATTATATAAAATTTATTACTATTAAGTGTGTAAAGGTCATATTTGGATTTGTAGAAATGAGTGTCAGCATATTGCTTTCTATTAGTATTTGTATCTGCATTTTAATATTTTTGACCAAGATCTTTAAAAGATATATTTGCATTCATAAAGTCGGAAAGCACCTGTGCTCTTAGTCTTGCTGGTGCTTTGGGCAAAAGTTAGATGTGCAATCTTCTAATTCAGAGTGCAGCCCAAATCAAATTTAAAATGTTATTGGGAAATGCTTAACAAAATAAATAAAACTGCAGTAGAACATAGATAATGTTAATATGTGGTTTTCAAAGTAAATGTGTGTCCTGCAGGGATCCTTATATATGGTTTAGTTGCTCTGTTTCTATTTGAGTTTGATACCACTGCTCTAAGGTAGCATTTCTAATCCTAAAACCTCCATTTCCCCAAGGGCCCTACGGATAGACTTCAGGGAGTCCATAAATGTGGATGGGGATCTTTATTTTCACAAACTTCTAATTGAAATTAGTATTTCCTTCAGTTATTATCGTAAACAATATTATTCTGAGAAGGGGCCCACAGGCTGAATTCACCAAACTATGACACAGAAATGTTTAAAAACCCCTGGCATAGGGGTGAAATCTCAAGAAAATCCCAACAAACTCACAGCTTTGACCTTTCAGATCCACATTGGCAGCATTGACCCTATATTGGTTCTAACACATCTAACTTGTAATGGTATCAAAATTTACTAGTAGTACATAGCCTGTACTAGAAAAATCTCTGACTAAATAATGTTAGTGAAAACCTGTAACTTCAGAAGCTGTTTTTCTGGGATTTATTTGATTGAATCATAGCAATGTGTGTTTCACAGATATTCCCAATTCTTATTCACATACTGTTTGTTTTCTTAACTTTGGTTCATCACACTCCTAAATATTTTCCATGAAGTAGATTTCCTTATTTAGTTTTAAATAGGAAACTTAGAAACCTGTGAAATATATAAAAGTAAAGAACGGGTTGGTTGTGGCATGTTACAATTTCATTGAAAAGCTTTTTTTTTCTCTCCTCTGGGGGATAAGATTGGGAAATAAGGTTAAATGCATTCAGCTAATTTTTTTTGAGGCACTTGATTGTTATTTTTGAAGAAAATATGTTTTCAATCTGACAGGAACTTGAAACTGGTGTAGTTGACCTTCTTATTCCATCCCCAAATGCTACAGCAGAAGTGGGTTACAACAGAGACAGGTAAGTTAGTACGAATTTGCTGAACACCAATAGTAAATTCTGCAGTCTGTATCATAGGACCTTGAGTTGTCTGACCTGCTAAATGGTACTGTATATGATCTGTATCTTAAGAAATTTTTGGTTTCATTAAAAGATAATCCTATAAGGCTAAAACAAACATTTTACATTTTATAGCATTTAATTACTAGCTTCTTTGCTTTCTGGACTTGTAACAATTACAAATACAGGTTATTTGGAAGATAACAGAATTCTGAAACAAATCCTGTATCTTTATTTTACCTCTTATTTATTATGCTTTTTTAAATATTCTAATTTTTAGCAAAGGCCATAATATTTAGATTATAGTACTTCATAGATTTTTGCATCCTAACTTATTACTAAAAGAACTGGGGAAAAGTTTGTCCAATTTCTTTTTTCTTTTTCTTTTCCTCTTTTTTTAGGTTCCTTTTTAACCCATCAGCCTTCTTAGATGAACACTTAATGCAGTTTAAGTTCTTAGGAATTCTGATGGGTGTTGCTATCCGTACCAAGAAACCTTTAGATCTTCACTTGGCTCCCATGGTTTGGAAACAGTTGTGTTGTATCCCACTCACGTTAGAGGACCTAGAGGAGGTGGATCTCCTCTATGTGCAGACCCTCAATAGCATTCTTCACATTGAAGACAGTGGGATTACTGAAGAGAATTTCCATGAGGTGAGTTACCAACTGCAACTTCTTGTGATTGTTATTTATTGCAAGACTTATATAAGTTGACATTAATAGAAATATTTCTTTAAAAATTCAGATTCTGACATATGGTTGTCATGTAGTTTGATTCATTTTTTTTTGGCTGCCTGCAGCAAATATAGCCCATCTTGCTGCTGCTAAAATATCTGCTAATGGCGAAAAAATCCTATCACCCTCCGTTTGTACTGCTGGCCCTCCCCCATTAATGTGTTACAGAAAGGGAGGAGTTCTGGCACAGTGAACCTCAATGTTGGGAGTGTTTTTTAACCATGAAACTATATATATATACACTATGACATGGTGAATCTATTTATGTTTTTTTTTGTTAAAATTTTCAATTTTAAGAAATACTTTAAGCATACTTTTTATTCTCTACTTCTAGATGATTCCACTTGATTCTTTTGTGGGTCAGAGTGCTGATGGCAAAATGGTTCCCATAATCCCTGGTGGGAATAGTATCCCACTTACGTTTTCCAACAGAAAGGAGTACGTGGAGAGGGCTATTGAGTATAGACTTCATGAAATGGACCGGCAGGTGAGATGAATATTATGCTTTTAAAAATCTGACATCAATGATTCTGATTTTTGCATTTCAGCTCTTGGGGATAAACATTTACTGTATTTGATTTATATTTAAATTTCAGATCTTAAATGAAGGCTTTTCATAGTAATAACTCAATATTTTTTTAATCTTATTAATTTACTTTTAGTTTTCAACATTCACTTCCACAAGATTTTGAGTTCCCAATTTTCTCCCCATCTCGCCCCTCCCTCTTTCCCAAGACGGCATGCATTCTGAAAACCCCTTTCCCTAATCTGCCCTCCCTTCTACCACATCCCCCTTCTGTTATCCCCTTCCCCTTCTATTTTCCTGTAAGGCAGGATAGATTTCTATACCCCATTGCCTGTATATCTTATTTCCCAGTTGCATGTGAAAACAATTTCTTAACATTTGTTTTTAAAACTTTGGGTTCCAAATTTTCTCTCTTCCTCCCTCCCCTCCCACCCTCATTGAGACGGCAAGCAACTCCATACAGGTTATACATGTGTAGTCATGCAAAATACTTCCATAGTAATCATGTTGTGAAAAACTAAGTATATTTCCCTTCATCCTATCCTACCCCCCCATTTATTCTATTATATCTTTTAACCCTGTCCCTCCGCAGAAGTGTTTGTTTCTGATTACTCCCTCCCCCAATCTGCCCTCCATTCTATCATCCCCCCTCTCTCTTATCCCCTTCCCCCTTATTTTCCTGTAGGGAAAGATAGATTTCCATACCCAGTTGAGTGTGTGTGTTATTTCCTCCTTAAGCCAAATCTGATGAGAATAAGATTGACTCATTCCCTGTCACCTTCCCCCACTTCCCCTCCACTGTAAAAGCTTTTTCTTGTCTGTTTTATGTGAGATAATTTACCCCATTCTACTTCTCCCTTTCTCCTTCTCCCAGTATAATCTTCTTTCACCCCTTAATTTTATTTTTTAGATATCACCCCTTCATCTTCAACTTACCCTGTGCCCTCTCTCTCTCTCTCTCTCTCTCTCTCTCTCTCTCTATCTATCTATATATATATATAGATACACATATAATTTTTTTCCCCTCCAATTACCCTAATACTGACAAAGGTCTTATTTTTAATGGTATCATTTTCTTTCTAACATATCTCAACTGTTCTAACCAATGCCATTCTTAGAATTCCCTAAAAACATCTTAATAATTTCCATCACTTTCTTTGCTAATTAATACTGATCATCTTTGTACCTATCCTCTTCTTCACTCTCATCCTTAAGAATCACCTTTTCCATACAGCTTTCTCTGACCAGTGTTTACCCACAGTGTGATTACCCCTACTTTGAATTTCCTTAGCATTTAGTGTAACGTAGACTACACACCCATTTCTGTGCTGCTGTAATGTGCTTATGCACTTAACGCATGAGTATAAAGTGCTAATGTTAACATTAGTTACCCTGAGAAATTCAAAGAAAAGAAAAAGACGTTAGGTAATTAATAAATGTTTGTGTGGATGAATTGAGTGCATAAAGGTTGGGGAAAGGATAATGTAGGAGAAGGGAAAATAGAACTTACCTAATTATTAATTTGTCAATAAAAGTTTTACTTATACAGTGATCTAGAGCTTTCTAGAAAGCTGTAACTCAGCACAGTGAGTGAAATGAAGGCTAGTGAATGGAGGTGCTAAATTACGGAATCTAGAGTCCATTTATTTTTGGTTGTGCTACTGACTGTTACCTTGGCCAATCATTTTATTTCTGTCTCAGTTTTTCTGTAAAGCGGATAAAGTCATACTTAATAGCTGCTTCACTGGTGTTTTTGATTTCTAAGAAAATTTTAAGGTATCCAGAGTCTTTTGGACCAAATGATCTTGTGAAAGTACAAAGTAACTGTTAGTCTACCATTATAATAGTATATGAGGTGTCATTCAGTCGTTAAACACTTATTAATCACTTACTGTGTGCCAAGCACTGTGCTCCAGCTCTGGAGATACAAAGAAAGGTCAAAGACAGTCCTTGCTCACAAGGAATTAATAATCTAGTGGGGAAAACAACAGCAAACACATATGTACAAACAAGCTATATACAGGATAAATAGGAAATAATAAACAGAGGGAGATTAGGAAAGGCTTTCTGTAGGAGAAGGAATTTTAGCTGGGTTTTGAGGAAAGACAGGGTAGGGGTGGTCAGGAGGCAGAGATGAAAAGTGAGAGTATTCTAGGCATGGGGGACCAACGAGTGAAATGACTGGACCTGATCTGTGGAGGAGTGGGGAGAAGGGGTGGGGGCGGGTGGGTGGGAATAATACTAGAAAGTGGAAGGGGGGGAGAATGTCAAGCAGTGGAGGGCCTTGATTGTCAAACAGGATTTTGTGTCTGATCCTGGAGGTGATGAGAGCCCCTGGAGTTTCTTCAGTAAAGTGGCAAACTGCTTTTTGGATTTTGAACTTGGTGAATTAGGCATCTCAAACTCAACATGTCCAAAACAAACCTTGTTGTCTTTTCCCCAAAACCGGAGCCCCTTCTGAGCTTGCCTTATTTCTGTTGAAGATTTTGCCATCCTTCCAGTCACACGAGGTCGTTAGCTTTGGAGCCATCCTCAGCTCCTCTCTCCCCATCACCCCAAATGTCTAGTCACTCCCTGGGGCTTCTTTATTCTGCTTTCATGACATCTCGCACATCCATCCCTTTCTCTCCACTGCCCTTATTCAGGCCCTTGTCACCTCTCACCTGGTCTCTTTCAGTGGTCTCCAAATTGGTTTCCCCAGATCTCCCTTCTCTAATCCATCCTCAACACAATTGCCAAAGAGCTATTCTTAAAGCACAGATGGGACTGGGTAACTTCCCTGTTTCATAAATTTCATTGGCTCTCTCTTACCTCTGGGATCAAATACAAACTCCTCTGCTTGGACATTTGAAATTGTCACACTCTGGGCTCCAAACTGCCTTTCCACCCTGACATATTACCCTTCTTCATCCATCCTTTGGTCCAGACAGACTTGATGCCTTGCTGTTCCTTACATATGACATATCACGTGCTGTTACACAAACTGTCTGCAGTGCCTGAAATGTACTTACTTCCACCCTTTGGACTCCCCAGTTTCCTCCAAAGCTCAGCATAAATCCTCCCTTCTTCATGAGGCCTCTCCTGTTATTGTCTCCTCCCACTTGAATTACCTTGAATTTATTTTGTATAAATTTAATTGTTTTTATACGTTGTCTCCTCCTATAAGATAATAAACTCTTTGAGGGCATAGACTCTTCTAGTACAGTGCCTGGTACATAGTAGCAGATTCTAAGAAGAACATTAAGTATCTAATTTTGAATTAAATTAAAATTTATATAAAACATAAAATTAACGTTAGACAATAGTCCTGTGTCATTGAGAGGCAGTGTGGCTTGGTAGAAAAATAACCTGGAGTCAGGAATTGGATCTAGCCTAGAATATTAGTTATAAGACCATGAACTTGCACCACTTATTTCAGAATGTTTCTGTGAGAAATGTTTTGTAAATCTTAAAGTATTATATAAATGTTACTCACTTATTATTATGTTATATCTAGTGTATGTATAATATGAATCTTACTAATTAGCCTCTGGTTGGGAAAGTTCAAAGGAATGGCCGAGTGCCTTTGGAGACTTGTGGCTTAATTGAAATAAAGGGCAGATCCTGAGGAGTTGAGGGAGATTCTTTTGCAGAAGTATCACGTGTGGGTAAACAGATCATTGAAGTGTCCTTCACACTTTCTGGGGGCTTCAGGTGGCTGCTGTCCGAGAAGGAATGTCATGGATCATCCCCGTCCCCTTGTTATCCCTCCTGACCGCCAAACAGCTGGAGCAGATGGTCTGCGGAATGCCCGAGATCTCTGTCGAAGTCCTGAAGAAAGTTGTCCGGTACAGGGAGGTGGATGAACAGCATCAGTTGGTGCAGTGGTTCTGGCACACACTGGAGGAGTTCTCCAACGAGGAGAGAGTCCTCTTCATGAGATTTGTGTCGGGGAGGTCTCGGCTGCCCGCCAACACTGCGGATATATCTCAGCGATTCCAGATCATGAAGGTTGATAGGGTAAGTTCCTCTTTATTTTGGTCTTCCCCTTCATTATTGGTTAGTGCTTAGAACAAAGGAAAAAAGCAAGCTGTTGTTCTCATGTAGGTTCAGAATCTATCTGATTTTAATAGATTTCTAAGTTCCTTCTTGATAAGTAATCAGACTCATCCAACACAATAACTTACTATAATGAATATTTCATAAATTGAAACCAAATGCAGAGTGCTACTCGCACAGCATTTCCTAATGTAGAACATTTCTGAGCCATGTTCAGAATTGAAGTGATCAGTCATTTTGTAATCAACGTTTTGTTTAGTTTTACCAAATCATCTTTGAACATTTTTTGTACTGAAGTATGAGTTTCCATTAGGGATTAAATTGTAGTTACTGAAGTATTCTCCAGAATGAATTTGAATATAAACAATGTCATGATGTGAGCCCACTTACCTAATGATATTTGGCTTTCTGTTATGCTGAAAAAGCTATTTGTAAATGAAACACAAGGCTTTATTTCTTCATCCTGATTGATGAAAGAAGCTTTGTGCAGGTCCATATAGATACATGTGATCAATTTGTAAATGACTTTAAAATAAGAAGGCTTTGTTGTTTAGATTATAAAATCTGCAACCAAAAATAAATCAGCTGGGCCCTCTCCCCGCCAAAAAATTGGTCATCTTACTAAGTTTCATTGTATTTTCTTTAGCGGCAACATCTGTAAATCTTCATTCTCAAATACAATTCCTATAGCTTCCAGCTCTGTAGGTTTGGAGGTCTTAGAGGAATTTTCATCCCTTGCCTATCTCTCAGGAGAGGCCAGGCACAAAAAGTCCTATGAAAGAGATTTTTTTTTCCATATTTTTTCCACATTAAGGCCTTAAACTGTGAGGAGAAAATATTTTTTACTGTTTCAGAGAGAAAAAGAGATAGAGGAAAATATTCGTTTACATTCACCTCTGAAAAAGAGCAATGCCTTTTTTGTTTGATAAACATAAGTGCACCCAGCCTCAGCAATAACTAATCTGCTGCCTCTATTCTGTCTCTCTAAAAAATAACTTCAATTACCTGGAAAATTTAACAATTTAATGTGTTCTTTATGCTGTTTAGATAGTTTCTTTGATTTTCAAATTTGATTTAATCATCCCCATCTCCTTCCATTTTTTTCTACAGTAGAAATTGATAGTTCTATTTGTTTCCAACTTGACACCTTTTAATGCTAGATCTTATTGTAAATATGAAGTCTTATATACTACTGCTATAAGCCTGACTCTTTAATCCCCAAATATGGCAGTCTAGTAGCTAGTCTGCATTTATGCCAAGAGAAGTGTGCCAGAGAGAGTAAGATGGGATTTTTGTTGATTTCAGACAGTTGTCCTTCCCCTAAGTAGGCCTTGGTTGACGAGGCTAGGAGAGGCTTAGAGTTCTATAGTCAGGTGACTTTTCACCTCCAGATGAGTCTCACTTCAGTGATTTGATTCCAGGGTATAGTGAGAAAAACGTGACTACTGTAGTAGTAGTAGAATCTCTGAGGTCCAGGATTATTTCATGTTTAGATTATGGTTATGAAAGTTGAATAATGGCAGGAAGAAAAATATGGCAGTAAACAGTGTCCTTTTTGGTTTCTTCTAATAACCATACTCATAGATTTTTTTTTCTTCTTTCTGCAGCCTTACGACAGCTTGCCTACCTCACAGACTTGTTTCTTTCAATTGAGGCTTCCACCTTACTCCAGTCAGCTAATCATGGCAGAGCGTTTGCGCTATGCAATCAATAACTGCAGGTCGATAGACATGGACAATTACATGCTCTCCCGCAACGTGGACAATGCAGAGGGCTCAGACACAGATTATTAATCTGTGAACAAAATCATCTTCCTTTTATTACAGAGTAATGCCCAATTCCAATTCAATGTCAACGCACTTTTATGGTAAACATAGATGTTTTAGGAGCATAAACCAACATTATAAACAGTGGCCACATTTAGTTACTCTAAATGTAACAACAAAAGAGAATAGATGTTTTTATTTTTCTGTGATTGTAAAAAAACAAAAAAACAAAAAAAGAAATTAAAAGTGCTCTCAGTAAGGTTTTCTCCCTGACCCCCCTCCTAACTCCTTTTCCATATTTTGGTCACTTTTGATAAGTTTGCATGGAGCCATTTGGTGTATTTTTGGTTGGGAATGGTACATTTGTAAGCCCTCCCAGTGAACATTGAAGTTGTACATTGTGTATAATTGTTCATTAGAAAGGACAGTTTTACATGAATATTCATATATTTATTTTGTTTTAATTTGAATTGCCTGTGCAGGGTTCCTTATGCAGAGAAATAAAGCAGATTCAAGAATCTCTGTGTGATGATTTTGTTACCATCCATTCATCTGGGCCTCTCTCAAATGACTCTGACTAGAATGGTGTCATTGAGGCAGAGATTAGAAAACCAAGAAAATGAGGTTTTCTGTGCTACAAGAGCCTTGTCAGGTTGGTGAGTAAAGACACGTACTTTGTTCATTTGGCATCAAGCTTTTGAGCCCAGTTAGAGTGCCTGGATACTTGAATCATCAGCATATCAGATTTTTAACTTCGGAATCCAAGATTCAAGTCCTTATTCCAGTGAATAGTTTTTTGGCTTTTAAGACTGAGAATGGTATGGGTCCAGTGACAGATGTCTGTCTGACCAGGACCAGATGAATTTAGAGGACCAGCCTAGCTAAATTCAGAGAGGCTTATCACTAGGTTGGCTACATGATGACCTTTGTAGACAACAGCACCTCTCAGATACCATATGCCAAGTCCCTGGAGGGATTTTGTTCAGCGTTGTTGACAGGTATTCCCATGCTCATGAGACCATAAATCCTTGAGGAATTGTTGTACCTTGCTCAGTGTTTTTGAACCCAGGTGCATGCTTAGTAATATACTAGATGAAATTAATCTGGGGGCTGAAGAGTGTGACTGGTAAGAGATATGGCAGTGAAGGAGACATTCCAACAAATTTTTGGCAGACAGGCATGTCAGGGGTACCATTCCTTCATCAGTTTAAAGATTTGTGAACATCTGGTGGGGGATCTCTGCCCTGTTTTAATAAACTAGAATGGGATTTGAACAAGTTAGGATGGGAGTCCATTTGAAGAATGTTTTTTATGTTTCCTTTATACCTCTTAAACTCTTGATAAAGTGTTTGCCGTTTGGAATTTGTTCTTATGTTTTCTTTTAAGATGAGACTAAATGTCAGTTTCATTTTGTTCTCTCTTTTAAAACTAGCCCTTTTAAAAGCTGCCCCAATTTATGCAGACTTTGAAATGAAGAAAATAACCAAGAGCCTCCTTATTCTTCTAGTAGAAGTCAACAGATTAGTCATATAATAATAATCTGAATAGGTTTTATGTGTTTTATCACTTTGTATTGTGTTTTGTTACTGATATATTGAGGATGATAAGGCTGACTTTGGTCTGGTTTTGGCTTTTTTGCTTTAAATTTGATGGAACTAATTAGTTTCAAGAAACAAGGCTAAAAATGGTAACGTAAATAGTGGACAAAATTGTGCAATGAATTCCATCAAAGAGTGCACCGTTTTTGTTGGGTTTTTTTTTTGCCACAGTTAAATGACTCTTACGTGTTCCAAGTATAGTCTGATTTCCTTTCGGAAGGAAGGTTAAGAGATAAGAACACTTCCACACTCCAGGTTGTTAGGAAGGATGAAGGGGTTCCTCAAGAAAACAGAAGCAAGGCTGCAATAGGGCCAATAACAGAAGGCTTCTGGGTTGGAGAAGAATATAGGAATGTTACACAAAAATGGAAGGAAAAGGTACCTATGCAATTAGAGCTTGAACTCACATTAAAAAGGGTATTAAGTATTTGCTAGGTCTCTTGCAAAGCTAATTAAACTAAAATTAATCTGTCAAGTTAGATACTTTAGAGGAAAAGAATAGCAGTTGAGACAAACACAAAATAATCACAAAACAAAATTCAGGAAAGTAGACCGTAATAAAATCCATGGCTTCAAGCATCCATGCACGAATTCCCAAAGGGTAGGCACCAAACAAGAAGTAGAAGTCTCAACAAATGCAAGGGGGCATAACTGAGGCATCACAGGTGTAACTGAAACTTTGTGGTATGAAACTCCGATTGGAATATGGCTCTGCGTAGGTGTATTTTATTTAGAAGAGGAGAAGGGGTAGACTTGTAGATGGAAAGTGGGGGAGGGGGCAGGATAGCTTTGTGAATTAAGAAGATAGCCTGAGTGGTGTGAGGAACTCCAGAAGCCGCTGAGGGGAAGCATGATGGAGGCTCTTTGGGTGAAAATTACTGAAAGGAGAAATAGAAGTAATTCTTGTTATTGGAATATCCTGTAGATCACCTGGACAGAAAGGAGATGTTTGGTAATATCATAAGCCTGTACAGAGACATGAGATAGTAATGGTGGGGGACTTGAATTATCCAGGCATCTGCTACAGCGCTTACTGCCCAAAGCAGAGCAACTAACAAACTTTGTGACTTGTCTTAGTGATAATTTCACCTTTCAAACAGTGGAAAAACCAATAAAGAGGAGATTCTGTTTTGGATATAATAATTGTCACTATCAAGGATAAAATGGTTATTGGGGTGAAAATTATGGCATATTGAGAGGAAATGATCACTCCCGCCAGTATTTGTAATAGAGGAGAGGAAATTGGGGCTCAGTCTGATGTGCGCCTTAGATTTTGGGACACTAGATTTCAAGAAGTCCAAAGGAAAGATAGGTTGTGGAGAAAAGTGCTTCAGGGAAAAAAGTCAGTCCAGGTGGAATACGAGTTGCTCAAGACTGAAATTCTGCATAGTGGATAGAGCTCCAGCCTTGGAGTCGGGAGAACCTGAGTTCAAATCCGGTCTTAGACACATAACACTTACTAGTTGTGTGACCCTGGGCAAAGTCACTTAACCCCGATTGCCTCACCAAAAAGCAAATGATAAAAATAATAATAATAATAATAATAATAATAATGAAATTCAGAACACACAAAGGGAAACAATTCCAGTGAAGAAGAAAAATGGATTTGTCTGAAGAGGCTAATGTGAAAACACAGGGAGATCAGCAACCAACTTCAGATTGGGGGGAAAATTGTACAGAAGATGGAAGCAGGGCCTGGTAACAGAGGGTGACTATAAAAAAGTTCATGATGTACTGAAGCTGGCAGAGGAACCTGAGGACAGCAAAAAGGCATTTGGTCCGAGAAGGGGTAGCATCTCTGCTTGGGGAGAGAGTAGAACATTGATCGTTGAGAACAGAGAAAGCAGAGCTGTTCCATTGCTTTGTTTCTGCTTTCTCTGCAAAGGAGAGTGATGATTTACACTGGAAAGGGCAGAACAAAAATGACCAATGGGGATTTGATAGTCAAGATCAGTCAAGAAATAGGAAGAGTGCACCTAGCTGCCCTTGATGAAATCAGGTCACCTGGCCCAGAAGAACTACATCCTTGGGGCTTACAGGAACAGATAGATGTGATGATTATTGGGCTTTTGTCTGTGATGTTTGAAAGATAATCGAAAACAGGTGTGGTACCACAAGACTGGAGAAGGGCTAATGTCCTAATTTTCGAAAAAGCAAAAAGAACAGAGCCTGCAAATTATAGGCTAGTGAGCTTACCTTCACCCTGGAAAAATTCTAGAAGGGATCATTGAAGAGAAGGTTACTTAAAAATTAGGAAGGCAAAGGATGATGACAAAGAGCCAGCGTGACTTCATCAATAACACATCATGCCACGCTAACCTCATTTCCTTTTTTAACAGGATTACTGAACCAACATATGAAGTGAATGCTGTGTGTACAGTTTACCTTGAATATAGGGAAGCTTTCTGTTAGAGACAGGCCTGAAGCTGGCACTCTCTTCAGGTTTGATTCTGGGAGGAAATGATGCATGTAAAAGTCATTGAATAGTTAACAGAAGGAGGTTCACTTTTCTCTAACACAGCAAGATACAGTAACACCTGGCTTCCATTTTCACAGCCCCCTTGTCTCTGTATGGAAACATATTTATTCAGCATGGCAAGGTGCACAGATTTTAGTGGTCTTTTAGACATCTACCAAGTTAGAGGGGCCATGTGGGTGGGGCCTGATAATGCTCTTTAGGTAAGCTCAAAGAGGAGGAAAGGGCCAATGGGGTCCCAGGGGCTGCTTTGTTGCCTTTTAGGGAAAACATCCCTGTTGTACAGAAATGGGAGGTATGGTGAGGAGGAAACCCTACACCTATCACATGTCACCCTACAGTAACGAGATCCTAAGGCTCTCCTAGAGTGCATTCTACCATTTAAATACTTTCAGGGATTTTACTGGACAATCATCTTCATATAGGCAAGACTTTAAACCCCTAAAGAGTCATAATAAAGAAAAAGAAAGGAAAAAAGTGGAGGACAACAAAAGTCAGAAATGCTAGGCTTGGTTCCTCCCCTGTTAGCAAAGTTGAAGCCTTAGCTCTCAGTCATCTGGGCTGATGGGTGTTGCCACACATTTGCAGTTCCTGTCAGTCTCTTAATGCACAGTGGTGAGAATGAGATGAGCCAGAGTAGCAAGCTGACCACCAGGGATACAGCACAGATGATAACACCACCAGCACAGGCACAGTTTCTCCTTCTGATGTAAGGTGATGAACAGGATCAACACCGAAAACATCAGGGTCTACACAGATGATAATGATATTTTGAGCGTAGTCAACAGTTCATCATCTATCAGAGTCATCTGTAGTAAAGTGGCTAAGACATAAAAGCCTTTTGCATTCAACCTAAATTATTACAGAGCTTCTCCCAATACTGCTCCCCATTCACTATTCCCTGGATCACCCACCAAGACCATCCCCTTCACTGAGCTTCAGGCAGGAGGATGAGAGAAAATCTTGGCCCCCTTAGATCCCTGAGGAGAGATGGCCCCCCTTCTACAGGGTCTAAATGAGGACTCTCGCCCCCATCCAGGGGTGAAAGTTAGCACCAAATCACCTTTTTCTTCCAAGTTAATACACATGCATTATGGTTATATCACCGATTTCACATCTTTCATGTTATTAGAAAGCAACACACTTCTCAACAATACCACCCGATGGTCTTCTAATCCCCTTTTGGGGAAGAATTGTCTAAACTCCTAGAGAAAAGAAAGTCTGCTAATTAAGGGAGTTGCCAAGATGGTTGAAGCTTTCTGAGGGGGTAGTAGACCTTGAGGCCAAGGCAACTCTAACCTGGAGAAGGAATAAGGAAGGGTTGGAGAGGATCAACTAGAATTATGTCCAAAAATAGTCCGTTTTTATCAGGTAAGTAAGTTTTCTGTAAACTGGATCCTAGAAACCACTGTACCAGCTAGCCCTTCTCCTTCCTAGGATGATG